ATGCCGCCAGCTCTGGAGTTGCGGCTGGAGTCAGACAAGATATTGCGTCGGCGGTGCCGCCTGATCTTGGGGGAGTTTGCGCACCGCAGTGGAGATGGGCTATGCAATGGGCTGATGGTATGCTCCCAGGTGGGTTCATTCTTGCGTCCATATATTTGATATCAGGGCACAAGGTGCGTGATTATGAAGATGAGAACAAACGGATCATCATGCTGGTGATGGAGCAGCTACAGAGGCTTGGCAGGCCGTTCATCATAGGTGGAGACTGGAATATGACTCCTCAAGAGCTCTCCGACCTTAACATTCTTGCGCAGGTGCCAGCGATGATAGCAGCCCCTACGCAATGGACATGTGCATGTGGAGAAGGACGTGTGCTTGACTACTTTGTGGTTAGCCAGCATTTCAAAGGGCTCATTAGGGATGTGTCCAGGATTGAGGGGCTGTCGATAGCCACGCCTTGGGGTGTCCGACTTTCTCTTCGTGTGGGCCCAGGTGCTGCGCTTGTACAACAGCTCAAGATTCCAAAGAAGTTATGTACCCAAGGTATGCCCGCTAGGTGCAGCAGACCCGCCGCCTTCATATCAGCAAGTTCTGCGAGAATGTGAATGTGCGAAAGATCGAGAAGACCTGCATTGGTGCTTCTCGCAATGGCATGCTTTGGCTGACCAAGAACTTGTTCGGCGCTTTCAACTAGAGGATCGACATGGACGAGCCTGCAGCGGTAGGGCACAGTTCACGGAGCCCGAATTCAAGATGGTGGCTGTGGTCCGCAAAGCGCCAGGTCACTCACCGCCAGGAGATCCAAGGTCCAGACAGTGGAGGCGTGCCTCAATGGTCATGGTTGATCTCATGCATGCACGCAAGCGGAGTTGGTCCACAGACTGCAAATTTATTCAAGACAGGTTCAACACCATGCAGAACCTCAAGAGCAAGAGGCTAGACATGGGCGAGCCTTGGGATATATGGTGTTACAGGTATGATAACGAATTCAGTTGGGATGATGAGTGGTTGCGAGAAGCGAGCTGGACTGCGGCGAAGGAAGCTACCACTCTGGAGATAAAGTTTGCAAATAACCGCGTGAAGCAGTGGCGCAAGTTGATTGCAGATGTGATCGAGAACGGCGGCAAGCAGGCTCACAGATGGTCTAAGCTACCCTCCATGTGGACACAGGCTGACATACATCCCACGCAAGGTGTGAGGTCTCATGCCCTGCGCTTACAGTCAGACCTGGAAGAGTGGAAGCAGGTTTGGAGATATCAACAGGGAGAGCGAAGTTTTGGAGAGGGGTTACGATTACAGGCGCATGATGAGGAGGTTAAGATGTTAGATACTGCGATCATCAGGAAAGTGGCCACTTCATTTAAGGCGAACACGGCGTCGGGTATTGACAACCTAGGCCCGAGGAATGTCGCCTTGCTTTCAGACAGCGCCCTCGCAGCCTTCGCACAGCTCATGCACAAGGCCGAGACCTTAGGGGAGTTGCCACCGCAGCTCACCTACAACATCATGCCACGACTACCAAAACCTGAGGGCGGACATAGGCTCATTGGGCTGCTACCTGACCTTCTTCGCGTATACAACAAGTGCCACAAAGCCGAGCAGCAAGAATGGCTCGCTAAGAGTGTCAAGGACTACCACTATGCTGTTGCAGGGCGTAGTTCCGAGCAGGCGGTATGGTCGCAATCACTTCTGGCTGAAGCTGGGCTAGCTCTCAAAAGGCACACAGCAACTGCCATGCTTGATCTCAAGAAAGCTTTTGAAAATATTCCCCATGCGACCCTATGGGACGTTGGCTGCCGACATGGTTTCAAGAGGTCGAGATTGGCGCTGCTACTCAAGTCGTACGCTGGTGGGCGCATGATCAAGTATGGCAACATGGTGTCAGGGGCAGTCAAAACAAATCACGGAGTCATAGCGGGAAGTGGGTTTGCGACTACGATCATGATGTTTTTCGCTCTAGGTGCTTACGAACAGGTATACAAGTTGCGGCCGTCACTCAGTCTAACGCAAGTGGTGGATGACGGGAGCTTGCAAGCTACGGGTACTCATGAACAAGTTCTCAAAACCATCATAGCAGCCGCCCGCATGCTGCGTAAGGAGTTGGTGAAGCTGGGGCTTGAACTCAGCCCGAGCAAAGGGCACGTAATCGCGACCAGCACGGAGTTAGAGAAGCAGATCGAGGCGGCGCTGAAGCAGCACAAATTTCGGAGGCACCGCAAAGTGCGACAGCTTGGTCACGATCGGACCCTACGACAAGGATCAGGAGGCGAAGTGCAGCATGCTCGGGTGCTCGCCACATCAAAAAGAATTTCTCGTTACAGACGGTTGGCGATGGGTGGACGGCAGATGGGGCGCCTTTTCAGAGGAGGAGGCTTGGCTTCAGTTACCTACACGGTCAAGGTAAAAGGCATATCAGATACACAATTAAAACAAGTCAGGGGCATAGCTGGTCATGCCTTGTTTGGTCCAGCACGTGGCAGGTGCAGAACCATGGAGTTTCAACTTTCGCACTGCCCCCGAGCTGATCCTACCTTTGCTGCGGATGGGTATCCTGTGGTGTACTGGCTCAGAACGCTGCACGGACAGTGGGTAAAGCAGCGAGCGATGGCCTTGGCCTTTATGCAGGCGCAGAACAATTGTCGTACCTGGAGGAGTGTACGAGGGCCAGCAGGTGCAGTGGCTTGGATGGAAGGCTATGGCGTGGGACTGTTGGCATACCGAGCGAGGGATGAAGTTAGATTTGCATGATATTGGCCCTGCGACGCTCAAAAAGATAGTCAATCAGAGTACACAAAGACGCCTGCTACGTGAGGTGCCACTTTCCCGAAGTATGGAAGGGCTCACGGGCCCGCCTTTGCTTGAACCTGCCAAGCGTTTAATCACCCAGCTCAGGGCACAGCAGGATTACAAAGGTGCTGGGCTAGTACGTACTTGGTTGGCTGGAGGTTTCTTCTGTCAGGATCGTTTGCACCAAGTTCGAGCAGTGCATAGCCCCTTGTGTGCAAAGTGCAGTGTGGAGAATGCTACGGATACTCATCGTACCTTTCGGTGTGACTGGCATTCTCTGGAGCGACTCAGTTGGACAGGTGAAGAACGTGCATTGCTACGCTGGGGACGTCAAGAACATGGGCAGCGGCATCCTCACACAATGATGACGACCAAAGGCTTGATGGAGGACCCCACGTTCAATTCGCCGATGCCGACCAGCGAGCACATTATCAACTGGCAGAAGTGCGCTGTTAGCGGGCTCCTCAGTGGTGTTGTGTGCACTGATGGCAGCTGATTTTTTCCACACTGTGAAGTTCGAGCACGAGCTGGATGGTCCTTTGTCATGATTGATGAGGCTGGTGGAACTGTCGCGGCGGCTTCGGGACCAGTACCGTATCCGTGGCAGACATCAGGAGCTGGTGAGATCTGGGCGGCGACACAGGCTTTGCAGCACAAGTCGGCAGGGCGCATTACGATTGTCACCGACTACAAAGATCTCAAGACGGGGTGGATGCTGGGGTTCCCATATGGGTGCCAACCTGGACATCAGTATATGGAGCTGTGGAAGAGATTTTGGCAAATCGCACAAGACATCGGAGTTGAAGAGATTGAACTCGAGTGGATTCCTTCACACATGTCGAGGAGTAAAGCCATTGATCAAGGAATCAATATGACGTACTGGTATGGAAACAGGAGCGCCGACTACTATGCGAGAGTGGGGGCAGACGTGCACCCACGTGAGAAGGCCAGTGAGAAGGTCAGGAAGCTGCGGGAGGCCGCTGTCCCGCTCACCTTGAAGTGTGTGTTGCGCATCTTGCGCTTGTGTCAGAAAGGAGGGTGGAGTGATGCGCAAGTGATTGAGAGCAGCAGAGTAGAGCGCAGTTCTTTGCTAGTCCTCTCTGAAGATGGAGGACACGTGATTCATAGGTTTAGGGGACGATGGGTGTGCGGTAGGTGCGGAGATAGTCGTGCTCGGCGGTGTGACCTTGCGGGGCTCCCCTGCGGTGGTGACCCGAAAGGGGTCAGAGAAGCGCACCCGTCCCACAAACTTTGGCGCACAGGCCCAATGATCTGGTGTTCAGAATGTGCTTCGAGGTGCGTCTCGAGGGCCTTTTTGATTTCTAAACCGTGTCTCGGTCGGCCGCCCTTGGGTTCTCCGAGGCACTTCAAGAGGAGGTACCTCATCCAAGGGAAAGGGCCCTCTGGAGAGAAGGTTGGTTGTGGCTTCGCTCGGCCCGTGCCAATCTTCGCGAGCGTCGATCGCTGCGTTCGGCGTGTTTGAGTCTCTTTGTGTGGCTTGGTGCATCGTTCTCGGCACACCTCGTCGTCATCCAGAGTCTCCAGAGCCTCCTCCTCCTCCGCCTCCCCTCCTCCTCCTCCTCCTCCTCCTCCTCCTCTCCTCCCTCCTCCGCCTCCGCCTCCTCCTCCTCCTCCTCCTCCTCCTCCTCCTCCTCCTCCTCCCCCGCTTTTGGGTGCGATACCGCCGTCCCGCCTCGCCCTCTCGCCGGGAAGCAGGCGGGTCGTCCCGAGGGAGCCGGGCCTCGGTGGCGACGACAGGGACGAATAGCCCAGGGGCGGGCATTACACGCATTCGCCCGGGAGCCTTTCCGAAGACATAGATCATCGGCGCACCTGAATGCAGGTATTGTTCTTACCTATCGCCGCCTCTGAGGGCTTAGCTGCTCGGCCTCCCGAGGGGCACAGGGGCCAGGGAGCCCCGGAGTCCAGGACCCGCTGCCCCCAGGGCCCAGTCTTCTCTCATGCAGAGCATCCTCCCCATCTTCATCTCAGCCACGCGCAGAGGGGGGCAGGGGGAGTGGGGAAGGCTTCTTAGAAGCACCCCTGCTGCTGAGAAGGCGCGGGCCCTATCTAATGGATGTCGGGCGGGCGCCTTCTGAGAAGCGGCCTCCTTCCAAGAAGCCTTCCCCCCTCCCCCCTATACCCCCTCGTGCGCGCCGCCAACCTGTCCCGCCATCTCCGAGCTGGCAGGCCCGCTCGGGTGGGCCGCTAAGGACGGGCTCATCCAGATCACCCTGTCGTTTCCGGAGCCGCCGGAGGACCTGCACGTGATCCTCACGAAGGTGTACCTGCACGTGCGGGCACAGGCCCCGACGGGAGCTTCGGCGGGGGCCCACCGGTGTCGGAGGAGGAGGAGGAGGAGGAGGAGGAGGAGGAGGAGGAGGAGATCCTGGCCGTCGGTGCCAGTGAGTGCGGCTTCCCGGGCCTGCCCCCTGTGGGCCTCCAGAGCTGCACCACGGGGGGCGGCAGGGTGGCCCCCGAGACCGCCTCGGGCCACGCTGGGACTATGGGCTTCCAATTCTCGTCGGCCACCTCCTCCTCCTCCTCCTCCTCCTCCTCCTCCTCCTCCTCCTCCTCCTCCTCCTCCTCCTCCTCGCTCCCGAGGTCTCTGACACTACAGTCGGGCCACGCTGGAACTACAGTCGGGGCGCTGAAGAAGGAACCCTTTTCGTTGGGGAGGGGCTCGGTGTTCCTTGAGGGTTTCAAAGTTCGCCTCGGGCTTTCCGGAGTTCTTCCACGGGAGATCGAGGCTGAATTTATGGGAAAAAGGGGGCCTCTTTCCTTATTTGGGGTTCCTTTGGTCAACGCCCCGACTGTATGGGCTTCCAATTCTCGCTCCCGAGGTCTCTGACACAGTCGGCTGCGGGACCCACCCAGGAAACCACCCCGAGCGGGGGAGCCAAAGAGGAGTGAAATCCGGGAAAAGTACTGAAGCCCTAATTGGAAAAACACGACGACGACGACGAGGGCAACAACGACGACGACGACGACGACGAGGACAACGACGACTCCAACGAGGGCGACGGCGTCGAGGACGACGACGACGACGACGACGACGACGACGACGACGACGACGACGACGACGACGACGACGACGACGACGACGACGACGGCGGCGGCGGCGGCGGCGGCGGCGGCGACGACGACGACGACGACGACGACGACGACGACGACGACGAGAGGGGCGATGACCAGCCTAAAGGGCGGTTCAGGCGGGCAGACCCTGACGGGCGGGTGGGGCGGGCGGGACGAAGCTGACGGGCAGCTCGGGCTGGTGGGCCCTATCTGGCGTGTTCCTCCGGGTCAAGCGGGCGAATCCCAGCGGGCGGGGCGGGGGCGCAGCCATTGGGGCTTTCGGTGGCGCTCCACATGCGTCCGCTAGATGGAGTGGGGCCGCCGGTGGGGCCTTCGGTGGAGCTCGGGCCACGAAGCGTTGTACGGGTGGGGGAAGTGCATATGGGCACAGCCTCTGGGGCCGTTGGTGGAGCTCCCAATGGGACCACGAAACGTCTGAGGTGTGTGCAGGAATGGAAGGGGGGCGGCATACGAACCCTGCCACTTGGACCTTCGGCGGAGCTGCCTAGGGGGCAACGAAACGTGTGAGGGGTGTGCCAAAGTGAGGGGGGTGACGGGAGGAGGGAGGAGCGGGAACAGGAGGAGCAAGAGGAGGCGCGGGCACCGTCCCTTCAAAACGAGGACCCACCACCACGGGATGGTTGGGAGAAGCTTCACAGAAGACCAGGGACCTTCGGGGCCGTACGAGAAGGCCCACCCCCTCTGCCTTCACCCCCTTCCCCCCTGGGCGCGCGGCGGAGCTGGCCTGCTGCTCGTCGTGGCCAGGGGCGCTTCAGGCGGGCATGCTCGTGCCGGTACGGCAGCACTGCACGCTGCCATCCCATCGCAGAGCGGCGTGGGTGCGCGTGCTCTCGTCTTCGGTGGCGAATCATGGGAGACCTCGTATACCCTCGCAATTCAGTCTTGCGGTAGGTTCGCGTCGTGTCGACCGGCGGCGACCCTGGCGCCGGCGTTCAACGTTGAACGCCTCCGGCGACCCAGAATCGTTCGATGTTGAATGATCTGACGTTTTGGAAACGGCTGATCGTTCAAGGTTGAACGATTCCCGCAGTGTCGGGAACCAGCGCCGGGGTCGGCACGACACGAATTTGTCGCATGTGCGCGCTAGTGTCGATTAGTGTTTGGTAGCCGATGGGATAGCGTCGAGCAGCGTCGACGAGCGTCGAGTCGCAAGAGCCCGGCAAGAGTACAGAGCAGGAGATGCAGCAGCACGGGTGAGAGAGGGGCACATCTCACCGAGCGCGTTCCACTACTCGTAGAGTGCCTACTCGCCAACGTCCGAGAGACACGTGTCTGCCTCGATGTCATTGATCGTAGATCCCCCCGCGGCAGATCCAGGTCAGTTGCGAGCAGTTGCTCTGTGAGCGGTGGAACGCGCTCGTCCAGCATCCCTTTGTGCATCCTCCCTGCGGGGGCCGAGGCGTCCAACCACCACTGTGTTATATTGCCAGCTCTCCGCGATGTGCTTCAGCTGGGCGCGGGCCAGAGTTTCTTCAGGAGGGAAAGGAACACACAGGCACATTGAATCGTCGACTCCCAGGAAAGTATGGGAAACTATGGGATGTGGGGGGGAAGACAAAAACCCAGAAACTATATGAAAATACGGGGAATCCTGTTAGTTGTGTGTCTTTATTTGTGTGTCCCAAGGCCCCTTCAACATTGCCAGCTCTCGGCGACGTGCTTCCGCTGGGCGCGGGCCGGAGCTTCTGCCAACTCTAAAAAATCCAGCCGGGGATGCCTTTGGTCGGCGTCCTGGGAGAGCGCGTCGATGCCGGCCAGGTCTGGGGCCCCTCCCGGCCCAGGACTTCGGTCCGGCCTGTCCCCCTACACTTAAGTCGGGCGTGTCCCTCTACAGGGGGAATATTCAAAAATAGTCAAAGAATAGTCTGGGGACGATTTTTTTACTATTCTTATTTATTCTGGGAGTATTGTTTTATTTTTTGCATTTTTCGCTCAAAAATCCTCCTGTAGGGGGACACGCCCAGCCTAACCCTGCAGGGGGATGTGTGGATGAAAGGTTAAAAAAATCCAGCAATCGTCCCCAGACTATGTTTGGACTGTTTTTGAATGTTCCCCCCTGTAGAGGGACATGCCCGACTTCACCCCAGACCCTCGTGTTCCCCGCTCGCGCCCTTGCGAGCAGCACTGGGTTCGAGAGTGCAGGCGCACGCGCAGATCCTCCCACCTGTTCTCAGTTCTGGCCGAAAGGCGTGTCTGCAGCTGCGGAGATCTTTCATGTTCGTCCTACCCCACCTCCTTCTCCTTCTTGGCTTCCTCTCGTGATGGAGTCCCTCTTCTATTCACTCCCAGGACTACATCCACGCGTGCGTTGACGCGTGAACACGCGTTCCCAGATTGCAGGCACTCCCCCCAGACTGCAGGTATCTTCCCCCCGGACTACAAGTACCCCACCCCGGACTACTGCATGGTACTCATCCCCCGGACTACAGGTCCCCCTCCCCTGGACTACAGGTACCCCCCCCCCTGACTACAAGTACCCTTCCCCCGGACTGCAGGTGCCCCTGCCCCCGGACTGGTCCTTCCCGTGGTTGCTCCTCTGGCGCGCTCTGTGCATCCAGGCGCTCTGTGGGGGCCCCCGAAGAGGGGCCTCGTCTATGGTCTAGCGTCCAGTCGGGCCTGTCCCTCTACAGAAGGAGTATTCAAAAATAGATACAAAAATAGCCTCGAGACGATGTTTCGGCTGTTTCTGACTATTTGGGGATATGTTGTGGGTATTTTGAATCTTTCGTCCTAAATCCGCCTGTAGGGGGACACGCCCGACCTAAATCTAGCGTTCTTTCTGGCAGCAGCCTGAACGCAGCCGTCCCAAACCCGACGCACCGCGCCTTGTGCCACAGGGCCTCGGCTTCACGCTGCTCCTGCCCCGCAAGCCGGTGCCCGGGAAGGCCTGCCTCGAGAGCGTGCCTCGTTTGTCCTCTTGCGGGGGCTGCGGAGGGCGAGGGGAAGTGCGAGGACTGGGCAGAGCTGGCGAGGAGGCAGGAAGGGGGAAGCGAGGTGATGTGCCAAGCAGTGATTGCACCTGATTAGGGGCTCTCGCTTCGCTCACTTGCCTGAGTATGATCGGACGGGCCCGCCGGGGCCGTCCCTCGTTGGCGCGGCATGCCCGCCCGTGGGCGCGCTCGTTGGCGCCCCCGTGCCCTGCGTGTGTCCGCCGAGGTTTCGCCTCGCCGGGGGCGCTGCTCCCGCCTGTGGGCAGCTCGTGAGCGCCAGCGGGCGCCCCGTGACACTGGTGGGGTCGGCCGAGGCTTCGCCTCATCGGCGCCGCGTGCCCGCCCGCGGGGACCCCGTGACCCTGGTGGGTCGGCCGAGGCTTCGCCTCGTCGGCGCCGCGTGCCCGCCCGCGGGGGCCTCTTTTGGCGCCCCATTGGTGCCCCGTGCCGTGGGCGGGGAGCTCGGCTTCCGCAGCGCAGCTCACTCCGCATCTTGGCATCGCTCGGACGTGTGCTTCTTTCCTTCGGCGAGGGCCATCGAGGAGCATCCTTGATCACTTGGCGAAAAAAACACGCACGAAACCAACAAAAAAAAAACACATGGAATGGACGTCCGAGCGATGGCCAGCGTATTGCTCACAACGCATGACTGGCACAGCACAGCTCACACCACACAGGTCGCAGCGCATGCACTGCACAGCCTGGCTCACACCGCACAGCTCACACGGCATAGCTGGCACCCATAGCCAACACCCCACAGCTAACGCCCATAGCACAACTCACAACGCATAGTTTACACCACATAGCTTGCACTACGCAGCTTGCATAACATAGCTAACACAACTTAACTTACTCGGCATATCTCACACAGCATAGCTACCATCGCATAGCTTACTCCGCACAAGTTGCACCACCACAGTGCAATAACTCACTGCTTGGTGCCCACACTGGTTGACACCGTTCTCTCAGGGGCTCCTCCGGCTTCGGGCAGTTCTGCAAAGCTTCTCGCTATTTCTCGGAGGCTGTCGCGGAGGCGGAGGAGGGGGAAGGGGAAGAGGCGGGGGAAGTGCAAGGAGAGGAGATGCGGGGGGTAGCGCTGCCCACCCTGCCCGCTTCTCTCTGTTTCCATCCCCCTTCTCTTTTGTTTTTTGTCTGCCGTGAGCTTTTTTTTGTTTTGTTCGACTGGCAGGCCCGCGGTGCCGCATGCATGTGCCGCAGAGAATAGGCAGAACGACGAAGACAGACCGGCGAAGAAGCGATCCCCGGGATGCAGTCGAGAGCCCTGGGCCCGTGCACGCCGGAGGCCTGGTGAGCCCGCATTCGAGAGTCGGGTCGGGCGAAAGGGGGGGATTGGGAAAGGGGGGGTTACGAAATTTGCTGCATGCAGCTGGTTTCGGCCTCACCGAGGGGCCAATTCCTCGATACATGGCCGCCCCCGGCGCCGGGAGGCGCCGGGAAAATCAGCTACGTGAGCTGATTCTCAAACCCCCCTTTTGTTATCCCCCCCTTTCGCCCGACCCGAGAGAAGGACTGTGCCAGCTTGGGCCAGATGTCGGGTCCAAGAGCGCCCCGCCTTTCCTCTCCGAAATCAGCCGGCGTCGAGAGCTCACCCGCGCGCGAATTCGGGCTTCTCCTGAGGATCCGCTTCGCTCTGGCTCGTTTGCAGTTCGTGACCCCCCGCAGGTGCCACGCTCTCCCCAAGCCGAGAAGGTCGGGAGACTCTCCATGGGATCCCCATGGGATCCTGTGGGATCCCCCCCCTGGGATCCTATCCCCCCATGGGATCCGCCCCCATGAAGAGTCTCCCTAGAAGGATCGGTTCAGACGTGGCTACCTGCTGGTCCCAGGGGGATCCCTGATGCTTTTGAGTCTGGTGAGGAAGTGCGTTGCGGATGGCACGGTGTGCGGAATATCCGCTGCATGTTGTGCTGATCGGTTCCGCGGTTCTGCTCTTCTGAACCTGGCCTCGGGGAACACCGCTGCGGATTCGGAGGGAGCTCGGCAGGGTGGAGAGGGATGAGGAGGGTGTGGGCGCTGGTGGGTTCGCCACGGCTGCTGGCCGACCGCCACGGTGCAAGTTGCGACCTGCAAGGCTTGGTATGGGCGGAGGAGGATGCAGGATGGAGGGAGGAGTCCCCAGGAGGCAGGAGCTGGGTAGAAGGTCAAAGGCAGGAGAGGTAGAGAGGAGGCGAAGGATGACGGAGGGAGCGGGAGGAACAGGGTTGAGGAAGGGGGAGGACGAGGACGAGGAGGCGGATGAGGATGACAAGGATCATGCAGCGGACGACCAGGGAGGAGAGGAGGAGGAGGATATAGAAGGACCGGTGATGGAGCGGAGGGGGAGATCGAGGAGGAGGAGGAGGAGGAGGAGGAGGAGGAGGAGGAGGAGACGCGATGAGTGAGGAGGAGGGCAGCAAAGACGAGGTGGGATGGAGGAGTAGGCGGGAGGTTTTGCTTCGCCGAGGGCTCTGCGCGACGCGTGCCGCGATTGCAGCAGCAGTGACACTCGGCGCACAGAAATTGCGTCGCACGTGGCTGCCTGGGCGACTACCGAGAGGCCCCGCCGTGCGAGCACGCCCAGAAGGGCCGAGGCGGACACGGGCGCCCCGGGCGGGGAACGACGGCGCACAGGGCGGGCACGCCGGATTGTGCCGCACCCGTGCTCCTCCTCGCGCCCCTCGGGGGCTGCAGAGGGTCCCCCTCCCCCGTTCCCGCGCTGCAGGAGATGCGGTCCTACAAGCTGCCCGACTCCAGCAGCTGGCAGATCGAGGTCCAGGCCCCATGGGGGCGGCCCGCCGGGCCCGTGCCGTGGCCGCCGCCGTCGCCGCCGTCGTCGTCTTCGCGTCGGATGGTGTCTCGGGCGCTGCCGGGGGCTCGCGTCGCCACGGCTGGACGCAGCCGGGAAGGCTGGCCGAGCTGGCCTTTCGATGTGTAGGCAAGCGCGTCAAAGACAGCGTGCCAGTGCAAGAGGCGCCGCACTTCTTTGCACGCATGCTGCCCGCTTGCATCGAGAAGCGGAGCGGTCGTCTTGGGTATATAGTGGCCTCCGGGCCATTCCTTCACTGTGTTTGGACGGTACTTCGTAGGATCCCTCCGCTGGCTTCCTTGGGCTTCGTTGATTTTTGTTCACGGGTGTTCACGAATCCTTTCGAACGGTGGTGGTGGTGGTGGTGGTGGTGGTGGTGGTGGTGGTGGTGGTGGTGGTGGTGGTGGTGGTGGTGGTGGTAATGGTGATGATGATGGTGATGGTGATGGTTATGGTGATGGTGTGTGTGTGTGTGTCAGCGAGCGTGCGTCATCTGGTGGGACGTTGTGCTGTCATTTCCAATGCTGCTGAACAGGCGCCCGTTCAGTTCTGAACTGGGATCAGGCCCCAAATGAGGGCCCACAAAGGAGCGCTCGCGATGTCCACAACGAGACCATGGAGGACCCACGGAGGCCAGGGGGCGCGCGCCACGGGAACCACATATATGTGTGTATATATATATATATATGCATACGTGCATACATACATACGTACGTACGTACACACATACAGATGCGGCAATGGGTCATGTACAACTGCCTTCCCCCGCCCGCCAAGCCCGCCTGGTCAGCGCCTTGCCCGAGCACAGCCACACCATCAAACATCTCGAGGCGTCGCAACACGAGGGGGGGGGTCTTTCGCATGGAGCAGGAGCGGGGGTCTGCCGACGAGCGAAAAATTGTTCCTCGACGCGCCGGCCAGGGCTGCCAGCCCGAACGCGTTCGACCCGACGTCGGCGCGAGGTCGCGGGCGGAGCGGGCGGAGCGGGCGGAGTTCGAGGACTTTTCTGGAGTCTCCGCCTCCTTCCGCCCCTTGCGCCCCAGTCCCCCTCGGCGTTGCGGCGCGACCGTCCTGGCCGTACCCTGCGCTGCCGGCCACGACGTCCTGGCGCCGTGATCCCTCAGGAGGGAAAGAAACACACAGACACAATTGGCCGTCGATTCCCTAGGAGATATGGGAAAATACGGGAAGTGGGGGGGAAGACAAACACCCAGCAAATATGGGAAAATATGGGGAATCCTTTTAATTGTGTGTATTTATTTGTGTGTCCTGGGGCCCCTTCGATCTCTCGCGTCCCCGGGGCCCTGCTGCGCCGGGCTGCCCGGGGGCGCCGCCGCAGAGCCGCCGCGGCGGAGCGCAGGGTTGGCGCAGCACAGGTTTTCCGGGCGCGGCAGGCCGGCGGCAGGCTCGGGCGCGCGAGGCCGCGGCCAGGGGCCGAAGCAGGAGGGCCAGCCTCGGAGGAGGAGGAGGAGGAGGAGGGAGGAGGGAGGAGGGAGGAGGGAGGAGGAGGAGGATCACGAGCCCTTAAGGGCGAGGGCAGCGTCGATCTGGCCACCCTCGAAGGCGAAGAGGCAGCTGCAAGGATCGGCTGCCCGCGCCAGGCTCTTCCCAAGTGGGCTGCCGCGCGAGAGCGACGAGCTTCGGCGAGCCTCAGGGGCGGCCTGACCGACCCCTGGCGAACCATCCCCTTCCGTGACGGCCCCCTCGCCTCGCCCCAAGACGGATGTATGCGGGCGGAGGGCAGCTCGAAAGGCGAGGAGGACGTCACGGAAGGGGGTGGTTTGCTAAAGGTCGGTTGGGCCGCGCCCGAAAGCCAGGGTGACCACCCAGGCCGCCTCCACGCTGATGGCACCGCGGGCGCTCTGCCTGAGAATGCGCGCGCGCGTGGCCCATCCTGATACCTCACATCCAGGAGTGGTTTGCGCGCGCGCGGCGTCGGAGCTAATGTTTCTGCGCCTTCGCTGCGTCTCCCTTAGTACGCTCGGGGAGAAACGCTGGCGGTTCAGATCATTGCCGCGGCCGCGGCGCGCTGGTGGCGTCGCGCCATACTGGGGTACAGCGGGCAACCGCGCTACCGCAACGCGCGTTACTCAGATCTTCCGCGGTCTCACCGGCACCAAGTGTTGCAAAGATATCCTGGCTGAGTGCGACAGAAGCACCTGCGCCATGAGGGAGCAGAAGGGATTCCTCGACGTCGGCAATCTGGAGGCCCTGTCGAAGGAGCGGCGGGCTGCGCGCAAGTGTGCGCAGGGCCACTCGCGCATGACGGCCGACTGAATGGGGCGGTGAGCGCCAGGATCCCGCCAGCGACGCTGCGCAGGCGCCCTGCGAGGACGTGCAAATCTGTTGGAGCCCAGCCCCCGCCAATCTCCCGGGTGTGCGCCAGTGGTCCTGCGAGTTCTCTCTGCCGCCCCCTGTCCTCCCCCTCGGCCCTCCAGAGGGCGCGCGGCTGCGCGCGTTGCCACAGCTTCCTGCGCACTGGGCCCTCGACTTGGCGGAGACGCGGGGCGATGGCGAGTCGCGCGAGTGGGGCGAGGAGGATCAGGAAGCCGGGGGGGGGAGGGGCGAGGAGGAAGGCGGAATTGGCACGGGGATCATCGAAGCGAGAACGGCGAGGAGGAGCGCGGGGGAGAATGGAAGGGGGGGGCGGGGGCGATAGGGGGCCTTGGAGAAGAGAGGGGTGTCAGAATGGTGCCGGGAGGGGAGGGATGAGGAAGGGGTGGGCGCGATGCGGGGTGACCGAGGCCACGAGGAGGAGGGGCGAGGACGGAAGGGCGAAATGGAGGAAGGAGGAGAGATATGGCTGAGGGAGGGGCTGAGGGAGGAGCGTGAGTGAGAGAGAGAGAGAGAGTGAAACAAAAAGACAGAGAGAGAGAGATAGAGAGAGAGAGAGAAACAAACAAACATGAGAGCAACGGCGCGGCCGACAGCGCGGGGGGCAAGGAGCAAGGAACATGCACCAGGGCGGACTGCGGAGAGGGAGGCGGAGGAAAAGTGGTGTTCCATTCGGGCAGGACGCACGGGCGTCCTCACAACCCCACGGTGCAGCTTAGCCCATGTCCCATTTGCATTGCGCAGGTGCCTACGTTAAAGGCAACGTTAACATCCAACTCGAGTGCCGTGGTAGCTGAATCATGCTTCTCCCATTTTCTCAAGTACCATTCCTCACACTCACGCATATTATTGTGCGGAGCATGCTTGCATCAGTTTTATCCATACATGTCAATGCCTTTTTGTGTTCGGAGCCGCATGTAGAGAATAATGGGCCTCGTTGGTTCACAAGTCGCTCCTACGTCCTCTACACATGCCCAACACATTTACGACGCTCAACTGTCGGCGGATGTGCGCCCTAATTTTCTTACATTTGTTCTGGCGGATACGTATGCTTGCGGTTTCCCCCTCATGATTGCAAGTCCTTCTAAACCTGAGCATGACTAAGCCAACGCCCACTACGTGCTGAAGCCATGGTTCCACGTAAAAAGCAATAACCTCGACCACACCGCTGAACAGCCACACCCGATTGTCCAGCGCTGGCCCCGACCCATTGAGATTTCTCTTGCCGCGTAGTGTGTTGCAATTGGCTCGTTCCCCCGGTTCCGTCCGGTTTCGTCGCCCCGTGGTTCGCCAGTGTTGCAATTGCTTGTGGTTGGTATTTTTCTCCGGGTCTCAGAATTCACCACCATTCGACGCCCCCTTGCGTGCTCTTCAGCTTTATCACGCGGTCGCATGCGGTTGCGCGATGGCGCACGTTGCGCTCATTCATTTGCAAGATGTGCTCGTGAAAGTCAGGCTGGCGCAAACAGGGGCAGGGAAATAAGAAAGGGAGAGGACGATGACGGGGAGGGGGTGGAGGAGAGGGATGGGGAAGAAGGTGGAAGGAGGTGGAGTTGGAGCAGGATGAGCTGTTCCCCCCTTTGCCGCAGGGGGACCCCAGGGTCGGGGCGATCGAGAACTTCAACGTGTGGGCGGCCTCGGGGCGCGACGATGCCGTGCTCCGTTCGCTGCGGCCTTCAGACGTAAGCGAGGTCGCCGCCCGTCCGCCCGACGACGAAAACGACGGCGTCGTCGGTTCCGCTGCCGACGACGACGGCGGCAGCGATCGTGGGCGCTTCGGCGCCGGCTTCGGCGGCTGAGGCGACAACGACGATGACATCCTTCTCCTTCTCCTCCTCCTCCTCCTCCTCCTCCTCCTCCCTCTCCTCCGCCTCCTCCTCCGGCTTCTCCATCGTTCCTAAGGGGGAGGATGAGGAGGAGGAGGAGGAAGATGAGGAGGAGGAGGAGATGGAGGAGGAGGTTTTAGGACCAGTCCTATTCACCGCCGAGAGCAGGGGGGAACCAAAACTACAGACCTTCAAGCCACTGAGCGGAGTGAGTAGACCAAAGTATGCCGCCGACTTGAGCGGAGTGAGTAGACGAAAGTATGCCGCGGACAGGTGAGGATACGGTGATGCAGAGAGAATGAAACCAATGGTGGCCCGACACTCCTCCTCCTCCTCTGCCTCCTCCGCCTCCTCCTCCTCTAGATTGTTGCTGCTTGGCCGTCGGAAGGGGGGGGGCGGCCTCCCTCGCCTCGGCCAGGGGCGGCCTCATGGGAGGACAGCCCGGGGTGCACCCCACACGGCGCTCGGGAGCCGCCGTTGGCACGGACTGTTCTGGCCAGACGGGCGACAAACGCAACGATTGAGGCGACGGCGACGGCGACGGCGACGCCGCCACCGCCGCCGCCGCCGACGCCGCCGCCGCCGACGACGACGACGGCGACGACGACGACGACTGGGAGCTCGGGAGCCGCTGTTGGGCGGATGTCTTGGCCAGACGGGCGAAAAAACGCAACGACGGAGGCGACGGCGGAGGCGACGGCGACGCCGACGACGATGGAGGCCGAGGCCCTTGAGTCCTCATCATGTTCCTCCTCCGCGTCGCGCGGTGATGTGGTGTGCGTCGGCCCTCTCAGGAGGGCGCGCCGTTCTGACCCTCTCAGGAGGGCGTTCCAAGCCAGAAGAGCGCCTGTAAGTCAGCGGCGCAGAGGATCCTCAGGCGCGAGCAGCAGATGGAAGTGCTAATTGCGATCGAACATTATCGAAAGCACAGTGCACAAAGCGTGAACACTGTCAATGCAGCGACAGGCGGTGTGAAGGAGGAGCTGCAAATCCAAGCAAACAACGTGCAGCGGCCAGAAATCCGAGGAGGCGACTCAACTCGAAGTAAGCTGAAGCGCCAGTAGGGCGCACAAGCACGCACGCACACCCACACACACACACACACACCTACTTTTTTGCGTCAGCGGCTGGGCAGGGGGCGACTGTTCCGGCGGATAGACAACAGGGGACACGCTGTATGCAAATTAGGGCCGCAATGCACGGAAGGAGGAGGAGGAGGAGGAGGAGGAGCCCCGGACACACACCTACACACACTTGACAGTTGGTGTTGAGATTGTTATTTACCCCGCCCCCTCTCTCGCTGCTGGCAGCAAGGGCCGCCGCCAGCACCGCCAGGAGCCAAGACCTTTCTGCCCCCTCCTCCTCCTCCTCCTCCTCCTCCGCCTCCTCCGCCGCGTCGCGACCCGACGAAGAAAATAACAAGAAGTCCGGATCGTCGCCGCACCCCGCCAGATTTTCGCCACTGCGTGCGCTGCGCGCCGACGGTCGGATACTGAGCCCCAGAGCACTCGCCGGACAGCGGGCTCGTCCCCGTTTGGGGAGTGCGAAGTTTTCCGTCACACGTGAGGCTGACATCCTGGGCTCTTCGTTCTCCCGCCGCGTCCTCCTCCTCCTCCCCCTCCTCCTCATCCTCCTCCTCCTCCTCCTCCTCCTCCTCCTCCGCGCCGCGCTCCGATCGGAGGAGCGAGCCAAACGGCACCGGCATCACAAGCGGAGCACCCCCTGTGGGAGGAAGGCCCACGATGCATCCCCGGTCCGGAGGTTGGAGGCGTGTCGAGCAGGGCGCCGAAAAGCAGCGGCGCCACGCCGCTGCCAGGGACCCTCCCTCCCCCCGCGCCTCAGCGATGGCGGAGCTGCTGCCGGACTCCCCTTGTCCTCACCCCTCGCTTCCAGCGTCGTTGTCGCCTTCCCTGCATGGTTTTGTGTTGCGCACTTCGCTCGCGAATCTCGCGCAGAATCAGAGTATGGGATCCGGCCCGCCTGGTGTGTTCTCGTAGGGACGTCCTTCTGGACTCATGTCGGCGCCTCTCGGCGCCTGCGTCCTTCTCGCGGGCAGAGCACTCACCCGTTCCCACGGCCTCGCGGGCCGGGTTCTTGGGCCACGGCCCCATGGATGTGGGTTTTTTTTTTGTGTTCGCGGACGCCCCGCGCGGAACGCATCCGTGCGCCCGCAGTCGCACGATCGCGCCCCAGAACCCAGACCGCGAGGGCGTGGGTATGGACGTGCGCGCCGGCCGCAAACTCGGCCGACCCGAATCAATTCGGCGACGCGCGGTCGGCGTCTCGGGGGAGCGCGCCGATGCCGTCCAGGTCTGGGGGCCCCCCGGGGGACCCCAGACTTCGTGTTCCCCGCTTCCGCCGTTGCGAACATCAGCGCGTGAATTACCTACCCCGGTTTCGCTTCCAGGCAAAACCGAGTCATACCGCGCGCCTCCTCGGCAAGCGGCCTGACCAGTACAGGCCGTAGTTTGGCATCGCTTGGTATCTCTTGGAAGCGAGGGTGGTCAAAAGCGAGGCAGGTTGGTTTGCCCCCTAGGACAGTGCCGACGTCGAGCACGCGCGCCCGTGCTCACACACACCTTCGCCGCTCGTGGCCTCCGCCCAGCCCTCCTCGCCGCCTGCGGCGAGAGGCGCCGCTGGCGCCGCTGGAGGCCGAGGTCGTCGGCTGAGCGCCGGCGGCGGCCGCAGCCGCGCAGGCTGCCGCCGTCGGGCCGGCGCCCTCGCGCGCCAACCGCGGGCACGGGGGCGCTGGCGGGGTGCTCGACGCGTCGTCGGCGCCCTCGCCCGACCCGAGGGCGGGAGGGGGGTCCAGAGCTGGGAGGGTGGAGTGGAGAGGAGAGGAGAGGAGAGGAGAGGAGAGGAGAGGAGAGAAGAGGAGAGGAGAGTACAGTGGAGGCCCATGCCAAGAGACACCCCGCTTGCCCCCCCCATGGTGCCCTGGGCGTCTTGGGTGTCGATGGTTTTGCTATGGGCAGCCTCCGACTTTCCCACACCGGAATCAGTGGACCTCCCTGGGTCTCAGGGTTGGGTTTCTTGTGGAAGGTTTCTTGTGGTCGAGCTCCTACGGCAGAAGAGGGGAGGGAGGAGAGGGGGGGAGGAGCAGGAGGAGAAGGGGGAGCGGGGAGGAGGGCAGGGCAGGCGGAGAGGAGATGAGGAGGAGAGGAGGGGACGAGAAGAGAAGAGACGAGGAGGGGAAGAGAACAGGAGAGAGGAGGAGGAGGAGGAGGAGGAGAGGAGGAGAGGAGGAGGAGAGAGGATAAGAGGGGAAGAGAAGAGAAGGGGTGCCCTCCCCTCCCCTCTCGCGCGGTGCCGAATGGCTGCTTTGCGTAGTTAGTCGTGCGTCGGCAGTTTGTCATGCAGGTTACATGGTACGCACCCGGCCCTGGGGGCCATCATGCGTTTACGGGTGTCATGATCGTTTTCATCACGCTCCAGCACACGTGCGAATTGCACCAGCGGCCGTGCGAAAGAAAGAAAGGGGGAGAAAAGTCGAGAGAGGAGAGGAGGCGGAGAGGAGGGGAGGAGAAGAGAAGAGAAGAGACGAGAAGGGAATAGACGGGATGGAGCAGGGAGAGGCTGCATGGCCGGCGCGGTTGTTCCAGGCCGAGTGGCCAGTTTTGTTGTTCCTGGCCTCGGCTTTTTTTTCTCCCGCCTCGTGCAGCCTCTATCGGCGGCGCGCAGTGGGGGGAGGGGGCGGGGCGAGGGGAGCGGCGTTCCAAGAGGGCCCCCGCCTCATAGGAGGCGCGGGGCGCGTGGCGTTCGCGAGGGGCCCGATCCCTCTCGAGAGACTCTCCCCCCCCCCCCACGCCTCCTCGGCAGGCTCCCTCCTTGGCCCTGCGCCCTCCCCCTGTCCGCAGCCGCGCGCAGCCTTCCGGGCGCCCCGGCGGACAGCCCACGGTGAGCCGCGCCGCTCCCGCCGCGAAGAGAAAGAGAGAGAGAGGGAGGTGAGGAGAGAGGGAGGGAGAGGGAGAGGGAGAGGGAGAGGGAGAGGGAGAGGGAGAGGGAGAGGGAGGGAGGGAGAGAGAGAGAGAGAGAACGAGAGAGGGAACGAGAGAGGGAGGGAAGATAAAGAGAGAGAGAGAGGGAGGGAGGGAAGGAGGAAGGGAGCTGAGAGAGAGGGAGCCGAGAGGATGCTCCGCGTCGGTGCCTTCGGAAGCACCACCGCCAGCACTCGACGCGCTGCAGAGAGGGCCTCGAGGCACTCGTCCACTTCTGCCAGCCTCCGGCGCCGACCTTCGGACGGCGGGCCCGCCCCCGTTGTGTGGCGGTTCAGGGCTTCCAGAGCCCGTCAGTTCGGCGACGCCAGACAACGGATCCCATGGCGGCGACACTCGCGACCCAGTTTCCCCCATGAGGTCGCCTGTAAGCGCCGTCTTGCCACGCGTGTGCCACACTGGCAGCCCGCGTGAGCCGCGGCGTAAGGTCGTTACGGCACGTCGCGTAGGGCCCGTTCCTTGTCGTCGCTCATTTGGAGCGAGGAGGCAGGAGGGGGGGGGCCAAAGGCGGTGGCGCCACGCACTTGCTCGGACGCGTGCGTATCTCTCCGGGGGGCAGTGCCGCGCAGCTGCACCCCCACGATTCGGCAGGCCCTGCACTCCCCAGGTAGTGGCAGCGGTCAGCTTCTGCTCCCCCTGCACCGCTGCTCCGCGGGGCGTGCGTTCATCAGGAGGGACAGAAACACACAGACACAATTAACCGTCGACTCCCAGGAAAATATGCAAAAATATGGGAAGTGGGGGGGAAGACAGAAAACCAAAAAAATATTGGAACATCTGGGGGATATTTTTATTTGTGTGCACTTATTTGTGTGTCCTGGGGCCCCTTCAGTTCATTGGGCCGATGTGCGCGCGCCCCCCCTCCGGCTCCGCCCTCGGCACGCCGCCTGTGGCAGGCCCTCCCCTCACGCCGCCTGCGTCGTGCCGGAGGGCTGCGGTGGCCAAAAGCACACGTCGGCGCTGGCAGGCGAGTGCTCCCAACTTGGGTGCGATTTAATTTCTCCGTCGCTCAGTGCACGGAGTTCTCGCGCGTCTTCGGGTGGAGTCATCGTGTCCGCTCCCATCTTCTCCCTCCCCCCCCCAAAAAAACGTCGGCGCCGACAGGCGCTCCGAGGCTCGTCGGCAGGCAGAGATGGCTGTGCACAGCGCGGCCAGCCTCGGCGAGAGCACACGTTTCGGGGGCGGACAGACCCCCCAACAGCGACACGTCGATTCGTGAATCGTCCGCTTTCGGCTCTCGAGAAGGCGCCGCGGCCGTGATTTTCCAGGCTTGCGCCCGCCAGGTTTGGGCCTCAGGTCGTTCTCACCAGACCACGTCGTACTAAAGGGAGGCCTTGTCCATCCCCGAGCGTTGGCGCTGGCAGGCGCTCCGAGGCCCCTCGGCAGGCAGAGATGGCTGTGCACCGCGTGGCCGGCCTCGGCGAGAGCGCCGGGTGCAGCGCGTCTCTCCGGCGCGCGGCCCGCCGCGCGTGGGTCCCGCGCGCGGCCCACCCGCGGCGGGCAGCGCGGCAGGAGCCCCGCAGCCCGCCCCCGACCAGGGGCGTGCGGACCCCTCGCGGCGCCGCCAGCGGCGAGGGTCAATCCCCGGGGGCCCGCGCCAAGCCCTTGCAATTCGTTGAAAACGAATGTGCGCGGCGCTGAGGCGAGAGCCACATTTCGAAATCGGCCCGCCCTCAACCCCTAAAGCTCCTGCAGCTTGCTTTAAAAGAATCTGCGCGGCGCTACGGCGAGCTCCGACCGCACAGGGGTGCCACTTCCCGCGAGGAGGTCCACGGTGCCTCCCCGAGCGAGAAGGGATGGGTGATGCCTCAAGCGATTAAGGGGCGGCCGCCGCAGCAGCAGGAGGACTTCCCCGTGGCTCCCTCGCGCTGGCGGTGGCGGTGTCGCTTCCCCTCTTGCTCCTGGTTGGGTGGCCGGCTCCCTTCCTCGGCGGCGCGCCTCGAGGGGGCAGGCCGTTTCAGCAGGCGGCGGGGCTTGCCAGACCGTCGGGGCAGACTTGGGAAACCCCTCGGAAGGCCCGAGGCTTTCCGAGCCTCCTCTGAGCGGGCCCGTCCCTTGGCCTCCAGGTCTTATAGCTCCGCTTCTCGGCGGTCGCTCGGGGGCAAATCCCGGCACCCCCGGGCACGCCTTCGGCGAGGCGCCGCCGCTGGGCAGCATCCTCGAGGCTGCAGAAGCGCCGAGAACCAACGGAGACGTCCAAAACCTCGTGCCTCGAGCTCACGTGCGCCGCCGTGGCCTTCCCCCCCCTGGGCGCCCTCCTCCTCGTCCTCCTCCTCCTCCTCCTCCTCCTCCTCCTCCTCCTCCTCCTCCGCCTCCTCCCCCATCCCCCTCCTGCTCCTGCTCCTCCTCCTCCTCCTCCTCCTCCTCCTCCTCCTCCTCCTCCTCCGCCTACTCCCCCATCCCCCTCCTCCTCCTCCTCCTCCTCTCCTCCTCCTCCTCCTCCTCCTCCTCCTCCTCCTCCTCCTCTCCTCCTCCTCCTCCTCCTCCTCCTCCTCCTCCTCCTCCTCCTCCTCCTCCTCCTCCTCCTCCTCCTCCTCCTCCTCCTCCTCCTCCTCCTCCTCCTCCCTCCTCCTCCTCCTCCTCCTCCTCCTCCTCCTCCTCCTCCTCCCCCCCGGCTCGCAGTGGCGCCGCTGCGCGCGCGCTCGCGCCACGGCGGAGCCGCGCAGCCGCGGCGCGTTGCGGCGGCGCGCCTGCGCTCGCTCTCGCAGGGCGGCCTGCACGCCCCGGCGGCCGCGGTGGGGGGCTTGTGGTCCACGACCGCCGCCTGGGAGCGTCGAGCCTCTGTAGCCCTCACAGATGGGGCAGGCCAGCCACAACTGGGGGAGCTGTGGTCCTTGCCCCCCTGGGGGACCCATCGATTTCGACACCCCTCTCGAGAGGTCGTCGATGCAATGGGTTGCCCCAGGGGGGTAAGGACCACAGCTCCCCCAGTTATGGCTGGTCGGTGGGGTCGGAGCAGGTGGGGTCGGAGGGTCGCGCCGCATCGCCGATGCATCGGCGATGCGTCGGCGTTGCGGCTCGATGTGGAGCTCCACTTTCTCCACGCCGACGTCGCCGATGCATCGCCGACGTCGCCAAGGCATCGCGTGTGCATCGACGATGCGGCGCGATCTTTCGACCCCATCTACTCCGACCCCATCTGGGAGGCTTCCTTCAGGAGGAGAAAACATCGGTTTCCATGAAAACATAGGGGAAATGTAAGAAGCGGGGGGGACGACGAGAACCCAGACCATATGGGAAATATGGGGAATCCTGGGATCTGTGTTTATCAAATGTGTCTGTCCCTGGGCCCCTTCACTCCAATCGATTCTCGGAGACCTCCGCAGACGGCGGACATCGGCGGGCTTGCATGAGCGCCGTGCACATTCGTTTTTAAAGTTTGCGGCAGCTTCACGGATGGAGGACGGATTCTTCTCAGATCGTGGTTCCCTCTTGAGCGCCGCGCACATTCGTGCTAAAATGTTACAACCGTTCCCATGGCCCACATGGCTGTGGTCCAGGGAATTGTGTTCTGGCACTGTTCAGGGTTGCCAGGACGCCACAGGCCACCGTCTCGTTGCTTCTCGGTGTTGACGGCCTAGGCGTTGCGTTCTGGCGCGATGGAGGATTGCCAGGACGCCACAGTCATGTTGATCCGTGGCGTTGGAATCTCAGGAACTGTGTTGTGGCACAGTCGTGTACTCTAAGGCCGTTGCCTTCTAATCGGCCTTTTCCCGCAGTGGGCACGAATTCTTGGAGGGACCTGAGAAGCGCGAACTTGGAGGGAAGGTGTGTTGCAACATCGTCGATGCGTCGGGGATTTACACTGGCCCTCATCATCATACTCGTGCTTCTCCTCTCTGGGGAAACCAGATAAGATAGCCGATACTGCTACTCGACAGATCTGTTCCGGGCGCGTTCTGTCCAGAATTTCAAAACGAATTCAGCAGTGGCGACGAAGGCCTCGCAGGAGGCCAGACAAGGTATCGGTATCGATTCTTAGTTTTACTCCTCTTCCTCCTCCTCCTCCTCCTCCTACTCCTCCTCTTCTGGCGCTGGCTCGCGCCGGCGCACCCATGGGCGCCGCGCAGGCGCGCGCGACCGCCCGCGAGGACTCGAGTTCGCCAGAACTCTCTTTTGCCGAGGCTCGTCTTGGATTCTGACGATCCAGTTTTTCCGGGGTGTTGGCAGCGGGAGCTAGCGTCAAATTTCAGATTGGGTCTTCTCATTTTCCTGGCGGCTCCGCTAGGCCAGCTCGAGTCTCCCGAGCCCGAGTCTTGCTCGGCGACTACACAGAGTGCGGTTACACCGGGGTATGGTCTGCGATCGGCGCCGCTGGGGCTTAGGGGGCAAAGATTTGATGAACCGTCGTCGGGGCGCGGCGGAGATCTCTGTCGAGATCCTCGCCCGCCCCCCCCCCCCCAGTCGCGGGTTGCAGACCACCCCTTTGCAAACCACACCCTTCGGAATCACCGACTTGCGTCTCCCAGGAGGGAGAACTCGACATAAACACACGCAAAAGTCAGAGTGAGGGGGTCGACCTGTAAATGGGGTTCCGCGATACGGATTGTTTCAATTCTGATTTCTGAAGATATATATATATATATATATATATATATATATATATATATATATGTGTTGATCCTCCCGCCAGGTGCACGTTGTATTTTTCAATTGAAGTGCCCCTCCCAGGGCTCGCACCTTTTTTAAACAGGGAACGTCTTGAGCGTCAAACTGCGCCCCCGCCCCCCGAGTTATCACAACAACGGCTCCCGCCTGATACTTCCTCACACAATTCATTGAGAAATCAGGCCTTGGCGCTCCCAACGTATGCAGGGGTCGCGCTCTCGCGTAGGACGTCCTCGACATGGATTCAGACGCCGCGCCCTCGACACTCAGGAATCACACTCTCGCTGTGGATTTCCTGGCGATTTGTTTGGGAATTGCGCTATCGCTGGAGACTTTCTCGCGACTCATGCAGGACGCACGCTTCAGCAACCCGCCTGCTCGACCTGGCCGCCTGGGCCCGCCTTCCCGACCCGCCCGTTAGGGTCTACCCGCCCAATCAGCCCGTCTGGTTCCGCCACGTGTTTTCTGCTGCGAGCCCCCTCCTGCTACTCTCTCTGATGCTCCATCCTCCTTTCCCTTGTCCCTTCCTTCCGTCCGTCCGCCCTTCCCCTGCCTTAGGGTCTGCACGAAATACAGGTTGCAGGTAAGAACGCTATGCCCCTAAGGGGGGGTACGATCGAAGACGAAAAGGGCAGGTATCGAGGGTTTGGAATATACGTTGACTGGCCCGCGAGCAGATCAGAGCGAACAGTCTCAAATTGATTGGTGTTGCTGTTGTTGTGGAAATGGTTGTGGTTGTGATTGGTGGTGCCATTATTGTTGTTGTTGTTGCTGTTGTTGCTGCTGTTGCTGCTTCGACAGAATAATCCTTGCTGGTCCCCCTTTCCCCGGAACCATTAGATTTTGGAATTGGAGTGGTCCTCGCAGGGTTCGCACCTGGTGTTTTACAAGGGAAGGTGAGGTGTCACCAAACTAGGCGCTTGGCCCCCGTTTACAACAACAGCGGCTCTTGCCTGATACTTCCTCAAGTGTTCTCAAGTCGTACTCTCGCGCGAGACTTCCTCATTGTTATACAGGATTCGCGCTCTCGCGTAGGACTTCCCTCCAATTCAATCAGACGCCACGCCCTCGACACTCAGGAACCCAGCTCTCGCTCAGGTCTTCCACCTGATTTATTTGGGGATCGCGCTATCGCTCGAGACGCACGCTTCAGCGACCCGCCTGCCCCGTGACCCTTCCTTCCATCCGTCCTCTCTTCCCCTGCCTTCGGGGCTGCACGAAATACACGTTGCAGGTAAGAACAATATATCCCGAATGGGGGCACAATCGAAGACGAAGAGGGCGGGTATCGAGGGTTTGGGATATATGCAGTTGCATTTTTTCCTATTGAAGTGCTTCTCCCGGGGCTCGCAACCTGTTTTTTAGAAGGGAGGGCAGGATGTCACCAGACTGTGTCTCTGGCCCCCGGTTTACAGCAACAACAACGGCTCCCTCCCGCTTGACAGCTCCTCACCATTCATTCCAGCATCGCGTTCTCGCGCGGGATTGCTCGATAATTGATGCACGGATCGCGCTCTTGCGTGGGAGGTCCTCGCAATCTATTCCAAGGCCGCGCCCTCTACGCTCAGGAACCGCGCTCGCGAGATGACTTTTCTCGCTATGTATTTGGGAGTCGCACTGCCGCTCGAGACTTCCTCGCGAGTTATGCAGAACTCGCGCTTCAGCAACCCGCCTGCTCGGCCTGTCGGCCTTGGCCCGCCTTTCCGACCCTCCCGTTATTGTAGGGTCGACCCGCCCGATCAGCGCGTTGGTTCTGCCACATGTTTTCTGCTCCTGGCCCCCGCGTCCTGCTAATCTCTCTCGTGCTCCATCCTTTTCCCTCCCCCATCCGTCCTCCCTTCCCCTGCTTTACGGGTTGCGCTAAATTAGTGTGGCAGGTAAGGACTGTATATTCCCAAGGGGTACGGTCGAAGACGAAGAGGGCGGGTATCGAGAGTTTGGGGTATACGTCCTGAACGGCACGAGAGCAGGTAACAGCGAACAGTCTCAAAATAATTGTTGTTGTTGTTCTTGCTGTTGTTGCTGCTGTCGTTGATGATGTTGTCGTTATTAGCGGTGTGATGATTGTTGTTGCTAGCGGTGGTGGTGGTGATGTTGCTGTTGTTGTTGTTGGTGGTGGTGGTGGTGTTGGTGTTGTTGGTGGTGTTGTTGTTGGTGGTGTTGTTGGTGTTGTTGATGTTGTTGTTGATGTCATTGTTGCTGGTGCCGTTGTTGTTGGTTGTTGCTACTGTTATTGTTGTTGAACGCCCACTACTGGAGAATAAGTATTGCTGATCCCCCCACTCCGGTGACCATCGGTGTTTTTTCAATTGAATTGCTCTTCCCGGAGCTCGCACCCTGTTTTTTTTTACCAGGGAAAGTCACCATGGTCAAATTGTATGGTTGGTCCCCCGAACCACAACAACAACAGCTCCCGCCTGATACTTACTCACAATGGATTCCCAAATCGCGCTCTCGCGCGGGATTTCCTCACAATGTATTCAAGAATCGCGCTCTCGCGTTGCACTTCCTCGCAATTTGTTCAGACGCCGCGCCCTCGACATTCAGGAGTCACGCTCTCGCTGTGGCTTCCCCACGCTTGAGCAATCCGCCTGCTCGACCTGGCCGCCTGGGTCCTCCTTCCCGACCCGCCTGGTAGGATCTATCAGCCCGATCTGCCCGTCTGGTTCTGGCACGTGCTGTTTGCTCCTGGCCCCCCTCCTAGTCTCTCTCGTGCTCCTTCCTCCTCCCTCTCCCTTGTCCTTCCTTCAGGAGCTGCACAAAATGCACGTTGCAGGTAAGACGTATATATATATATACCCAAGGGGGTACGGCCGAAGACGAAGAGGGCGTGTATCGAGGGTTCGGGAGGTACGTGTTGAATCGCACGCGAGCAGATAAGAGCGAACAGTATTAACATCATGATTGGTGCTGTTGTCGGTGATGTTGATGTTGTTGAACTTCCACTGCTGAGGAATAATGAATGTTGATCCCCCCTCCGGTGACCATCTGTGTGTTTTTCCATTGAAGTGCCTCCCCCGGGGCTCGCACCTTGTTCTTCTATAGCAGGGAACGTCACTCGACTCAAACTGCGCCCCTGGCCATCGGATTCCAACAACAATGGCTCCCGCTACAAACTTCCTCACAATTTAGCCAGGACACCCGCTCCCGCCTGAGACTTCCTCGCACTTGACTCAGGAATCGCGCTCTCGCTTAAGACTTCTTTCCAATCTTTTGAGGAATCGCTGCTTCGGCGCTCTGGAGTCGCGCTCTCGCTGGAGACTTGCTTGCACTTTACTCAAGAATCGCGCTCTTGCGTTGGAATTCCCCGCGATTTACTCAAGCGTCGCGCTCCCGACGCTCAGGCACCCAAGGGTCGCGCTCACGCTTAGGACTCCTTCACAGCTTACTTAGGAATCTGGATATCACTGCCCTTCGTAGCCCAGTTGCAGCCCTTCATGCCCCCCCCGCTGCCCTTCGCGAGCCCGTTGTCGTGGCCCCCTCGGTACCCTTCGTGTCCCCGTTGCAGCCCTTCGTGGACCCCTCGCTGCCCTTCGTGGCCCCGTTGCAGCCCTTCGTGGACCCCTCGCTGCCCTTCGTGGCCCCGTTGCAGCCCTTCGTGGCCCCCTCGCTGCCCTTTCGTGGCCCCGTTGCAGCCCTTCGTGGACCCCCTCGCTGCCCTTCGTGGCCCCAGTGCAGCCCTTCGTGGACCCCTCGCTGCCATTCGTGGCCCCGTTGCAGCCCTTCGTGGCCCGCTCGCTGCCATTCGTGGCCCCATTGCAGCCCTTCGTGGCCCACTCGGTGCCCTTCGTGGCCCCGTTGCAGCTCTTCGTGGCCCCCTCGCTGCCCTTCGTGGCCCCGTTGCAGCCCTTCGTGGCCCCCTCGCTGCCCTTCGTGGCCCCACAAATGTATGCCCTTCGTGTCCCACGCTCGTTCGCGCCCGCCGTGGCCCCATATGCATGCGCTTCGTGGCCCCGCTGTCGCCTTTCAGTGGCCCTTTCGCAGCCCTTCGTGGCCCCGTTGCTGCCTTCAGTGGCCCCGTCCTTCCTTCTGTGGCCCAACATACGTATGCCTTTCGTGGCCCCCGCTCGTTCGCGCGCTTCGTGGCCCCATATGCATGCCCTTCGTGTCCCCGCTGTCGCCCTTCGTGACCCCCTCGCTGTCCTCCGTGGCCCTGTGGGTACCCTCTGCGGCCCCGTCGTTGCCTTCTGTGGCCCCGCATTATCTGCCCTTCGTGGCCCCCGCTCGTTCGCGCCATTCGTGGTCCCATACGCATGCCCTTCGTGGCCCCGTCGCCCTTCGTGGCCCCCTTCCTGCCTTTCGTGGCCCCGCTCTCGCTCTCGCTCTCGCTTTCGCTCGTCGTCGCCGTCGTCGCCGTCGTCGTCTTCGTCGTTGTCGTCGTCGTGGTCGTCTCCTGTCCGTCCCTCTTGGGGTCGGGCCAGCGCCAGTCAGCGCTGCCGCTGGCCAGACTGACGGTCCGCGGCCGACCCGCCGCTTGCCGGGGCCCGGCCTGCAGGGAAGAAAAATGTACCCGCCAAGAGGGGCACGATCGAAAACCCAGAGGGTTGGTATCGAGGTTTTGGCAAATTCACGTTGGGTGCCATTCGAGCAGGTAAGAGCGAACAGACTTAAAATGATTATTGTTGTTGTTTTTTGTCGTCCTCGCCCGCGACCCGCCCGTGACCCACTCGCGACCCACCCGGCGACCCACCCCGCGACCCACCCCGCGACCCACCCGCGACCCACCCGCGACCCGCCCGCGACACGCCCGCGACCCACCCGCGACCGTCCCCGCGACAGCCCCCTCACTCTTATCCGCAACTGCGGTGTGCTACATCGATTCCCAGGAAATGATTGGCACACGTAGGACATGGCTGGGAAAACCGAACAATCCAGAAAACATGTAGCACCACCCGCAATTCCGGATAAAAGAGAAGGGGCGGGCGCGGGGAACATCGCGGGGAAGGTCGCGGGTAGGTCGCGGGCGGGTCGCGGGTGGGTCGCGGGCGGGTCGCGGGTGGGTCGCGGGCGGGTCTTGGGCGAGGACGACGACAACAAGCAACAATAACATCATGAACATCAACAATCCGCACCGCGCAACAGCAATCCGCACCGCGGAACCCGATTTCAGCCACGCGCCCAGGGACAGTGCACCACCGTTCGGCCCCCTCACTCTGATGGACACATCAGGGGGATCATTGCATTCGTGCTTGTTTTTATTGTAGTGGCCTCCGGCCAGTGCCGCCGACCCGGGGTGCTCACGATGGTCCTTCTTGGGGTTTCATGAAAGTTGTTTGGCTGTCTTGGGGCGTTCCTGGCTCGTTTGGCGCTGTCGGAAGCCGTTTTGGGCGCGGGGTGCAGACCACCCTTGTGCAAACCACACCCCTCGGAGTCGCCGACCTACGTTTCCCAAGACGGGGCAAGTTGGGCACAGACGCGCGCAAACGTAGATTCCCAAGAAAATATCCACACACATAGGATGTTGGCACATCTGGGGGTCCTGGATCCCGTGCAGATTTGATCCGTGCCTCCCCCGGCGCCCTCCGCCTCCCCGCGAGGAGATCTGCCCGCCCGCGCGCTGGCACGCAGGCGGCCCCAGGAGGCCGCGGCGGGCGAAGCGCGCGGCCGCGCTGGCGCGGCCGGCCGCGCGGGGCGTCCTCCGAAGGCGGGTTGATTTTCTTCTTCCTCCTCCTCCTCCTCCTCCTCTTCCTCCTCCTCCTCCTCCTCATCTTCCCCCCTCCTCCTCCTCCTCCTCCTTCCCCTCCTCCTCCTCCTCCTCCTTTCCCCCCTCTTCGTAGGCGTTGTGGTCCGAGACGCCCCCTTTCGGGACAGCCCGACAGACCACGACCCCAGTGCGGACCCGCAGGCATTTTGCCAGCCCGCCGCGCGATCGGGTCTCCCCCGCCACGTCGGGGAGTCCCCGAACCGCCGAGGCGCGCCGCCGCTCCCGCTCACCTGCGTGGCACAGGTGAGAGCGGAGACAGCGAGCGCGTGCGCGCCAGCGGTTGAGGAGCCAGCTGGACGTGCAGAGGCTGAGAGACCACCATGGCAGCACGCCCCCAGGTGGCGCCATGCCGCATAGACAGCACGGCTACGGACAGCGCCAAGGTCGGGGAGGCCATCACCAGCAGGCGCAGGCTCCGAGGTCCTCGTGCAAGCGATGCGGACATTGGGAGTTCGACCACAAGCTCCCAGGCCTGGAGTGGCGCTGCAGCTGCGGAGCCATGCGCCGCAAGAAGGGCAAGGACAAGAAAGGCAAGGGCACGGACAAGGGCGATGAGCTGGCCAAGTCATTGGCAGACGTCGCAGCTCGGATCCAGGCCCGCGCGTTCCCGCCAGAGGCCACGGCGAGCTTTGCAGCGGCAGTCTCCTCGGTGTCACAGGCAGTGCAGCCCCAGGCACCGCAGAATAGCCCAGCCTCGCTGCTCGCCGATGCCGCCTGGCGCCGCGAGGAGGCCAACATGGCCTACGACGAGCCCCTCAGTGCCCGAGAGGAGGCCCACGAGAGACCCAAGAAGGCAGACCAGACTCTAGGCGAGAAGGAAGCAGCGGTGGTTGAAGCAGAGCTCACGGTCGAGAGCCTCAAGCTCAACGCCGCCCCGACCCCCAAGCCGCCCTTGCTCGACGACATTTTAAGCAGGTCGAACGACGAGCTCGGGAAGGAGACCCTGCAGGTCCTTGACAGGTCGGCTGGAGTTCAACCCCGAGGAGCTGGGCACAAAGGCTGCGGAGCAGACCCAGGCAGTCAAGGCCCGAATGTTGGACGAGGTTAAGGGAAAGACCAAGGAGTTTGTTTCAAACCTGAAGTTGCACCTGGAGCAGGCCAGGCTGAAGGCCGCGGCCGACCGCGAGGAGCTGCTGCAGGCCGCCAAGAAGAGGAAGGCCGATAGCAGCACCAACGCCGAGATGCCACCAGGCTCCTCGCCGCCGCCAGCGCCGCCGAGGCCGTCGCCCACCGGCGCGCCAGCCGCGCCAGCGCCGCCCGCGCAGCCAGCGGCACCGACGGCGGCGGAGGCAGAGGCGGCGGCCAAGGCGGCGGCGGAGCAGGCGGTCAAGGAGCTAGCTAAGCCGAGGCAGGCTGCTGGAGCAGGCGCGCCAGCAGACGGCGGCAACGACGAAGGCCGCAGCTGCCACCTCCTGACAGTTGCCCAGGACAGAGCGCGCACGCCCATGTCAATCCTCAACGGCAACATTAACACATGGGGAAGTCTGCCAGCAGATTCGCCAAGGAGTCGATACGGGAAGACTCGCGCGACGCCTTCACGCTGCAGGAGACGCGCGCGACGCAAGAGGGGATCGAGGCAGTCGAGAGGTAGCTCGGCGCCCTGAGCCTCCGCGCCTGCTATTCTTCCGCTCGCCAGAGCGAGACATCTAAGAAGGGGTCTCGAGGGGGCGCGGCCGCCGCGATCAGATCGCGACACCAGAGCTGATTTTACAGAGAGCTTGCGAAGCCCCGCTGTGCTTCGCAGGCCACCGCACCGGCCCCCCTTCTCCGATTCTTGTCGCACCTTCAGTTTTGCAAATTGAATGCCGACGACGTGGCGTCAGAAGGGGTTCAGCCTGACCTTGGCGTGCACCTCGAGGGCGCGAGTTCCTTTACGGGGAACAATGCCGCCACTTTAGCTTCGATGGGTGTCATCCTCAAATCGACCAAGCACCAATTTATCATCGCAGGAGATTTCAATGCTACGCCAGCACAGCGCTGGACATCCGGCTAGCCGCAAAAGCTCGGAGCCGCGGTCCTCGCAGCCCCCGAGGGTTTCATGTGCTTCAGCCTGACGCCGAACCTGCCCTTATATTTTGCGCGTCGACTAGCCCAGGCGCTATTCGGCATGCCCATAGCTTGTCAACCCAAGCGACCCCTTGGAAGCTCCGCGTTGGTCAGGTCTCAATTATCAGATCACAGGCGTTGCCCGCTGTCACGCGGCAGCTCTGCCCCCCCGGGCCCATCGAGCGCCCTGCTCGTGACGAGAAGGGGCCGAACCCTGCCAGCGAGCGGCGGGTGCGTCTGAGGGGAGAAGGGCCGCTCGCTGCCGCCGCTGCCACTGCCCCCCCCCCCCCCCCCCCTCGTCATCCGCCGCTCTCGAGGCGGAGCGCGCTGAGAAAGACCAGCAGTTTGAGAACCAAGGATGGGGGGCCTTGGGTCCGCTTGGGCGACCCCGCTCCCCTGGGGGGCCAGGACCTGCCGACGGGGCCGCCGCCTCCGAGTCGGGCCCTCCCGGGGCTCGCGCTGGCTGCGTCTCGCCGAGTGCGTCTGGGGGCGCCCCTTGCCCCGCGGGTTGGGACGACTCGGAGGTTGACCTGCTCGAGCAGCCCGAGACCTTAGAGGCGTCTCCAGGGAGCGGTTTCGATATCCCAATCTGCTTCGGCGAGCTCCCTGAGGATCCCCACTGAGAGGGGGGCCGGCCTAGAAGACCGCCCCCCCCCCCCCCCCGCGCTCAGGCCGCCGGGGTTGAGTCTCCTGTCGTTTCGGGTGCCCCTCCGTCGGGGCCCGCGGCCGCCCCCCGGCAGTTCGCCTTGCCGGGGGGGCCCGCCGTTCTGGGGGCGGAGACGCGGGAGAAGGCCTCTGGTTTCAAGCCGCCGTCAGCTGCAACTGCAACACCTCTTGCGAGGCCCCCGAACATGTCGCGCAGTGCCCGGCCGACTTAGTTTGTCCTGAGGCCTCGAGGCCCCTCGGACAGCAGTACGACGCACTCATGCAGGACGTGGAAAATGCCCATGCTGGGGCGCGTGACCACTCTGGCCAAGAGAAGGCCAAACTTTGGTAGAGGCGGCACATCCCGCATTTAAGGCTGTAGAGGTACGCGGGGCAGGCCTTCGGGGGCCCCGTTTCCAGAGCTACGATGCCAGCTGGTGGACGAGGGTCTCCAGCACTCTCACCCAGTTTTGCGCGCTCGCCACCAAAAAGAAGGGGGTCCAGCAGCAGAGGGAACTGCATAACATTGCCCAGAGCTTGTCGAGTGACGGTGTGCCTGCCGCAGGGTTGAAGCCTTCCAAGACAGCCCAGCTCCATCGTGATGCGCGGCTCTCTCGCTTGTCAGACATTGCCAAGGTCGACACCCAGATCCTGCTGGGCATGGCCAGATGCTTCGGTGCAGGCCCATGGGCACGATCTAGGAAAGGAGCTGCGTGCTTGGGCGGACTGGCTGTCTGACCCCATCAAGGCCACCCCTGGGAAGTTGCACAGAATCACGAAGCCCTTTCCCCGTTCTGAAGACGAGTTTATAAGCGAGCAGGGGAAAGCCTCATCCCCTCTAGAGATTGTACACGCTACATCAAGTATATTTAAACGAATCTGGGCCTCGGAATCCGTCACGCAGCACGACTCCGTAGCCACTCTGGCTCGAGTCAGGGCATTGGCGTTTCGAGAGCCGCGCCCCGTTTGGACTCTTGGCCAACCTGATCTGGCCTCCGCCTCCAGCTTGTCAAAGGCCGAGGCGTCGACAGACTCGCGGCTTCTGACGCGCGCCGCTTGCCCACGCCTGGGAGACCGGCGTTCGTGGATCAGATGAATTCAGCGGAGGGGCAGCAGGCCTGGCCGCGCCAGCTGCTGCGGGCCATCACCATGCTCGAGCCCGAGAAGACGGGGGACAGAGCCCTCGCCCTTATCGCCTGGCTCATCAGGCGCTGGCAGATGCTCGCCCAGCCGAGCGTCGACTGCTGGGTCGAAGGCGCCTCCAAGCACCATGGGCCCTCCCCCCGGAGGTCTCCCCGTCGTTTTTTTGGTACCCCAGAGGCTCGAGAACTCGCTTGCTGATTCTCCCGGATTTGGGTTTCTAACAAGAGTTCGCGGCAGATGTGGTAGATTATTGCGGATTCTCGCGGATTCTCGCGGGCTCGGCTCTGTCGCGCGCGGCTCTCGGGCGGCGCTCGCGCATAAAAGCCGCGAGGGCAGCGGGCGGCGATGACCGTGACCGCCCGCGCGTTTCTCTGCAGGCGCTGGTGTCCGCCTGTGGGCGCCGGGCAGTGCCTGCTGTCGTTCCACCAGGCGCGGGTGCCAGTCGGTGCCTCCGCGCCTGCGAGCGCCGTTGCGCTCCTGTGAGCGCCTTCCCGGCAGCGCCTCGGAGCGCGCTCGCGCGCCAGAGAACACCCGCGCGCTACCGCCTGCGGGCGCTTGAGAGCAACCGCCTGGATACGGGGTTCGGCCGTCGTTGCTATGGCTACAATGGCTTCCCATGTGTCCTCCCATGGCTTCCAATGGCCTCCCGCCCCGCTGGCCTTGGGCGCCCGGGTCGGCCGTTTCTGTTGGCCCCCCCGTGGCAGAGTGCAGAATCCAGTTGCCGTCTGCGGCTGTGCCTTCGCTGGTGCCTCGCCCGCCGCGGCTTCGCACCCGTGGATTCGGATGGCTTCGCGCGCACTGCTCCGATAAATTGTAGTCTTGGGCAAGTGCTCCGACCTTGAATTTGCAAATAGAGAACTCAATGAAACTTAGCCACGCGCCAGAGTCGAAAGTGATAGGCCAGGTCAAGTACCAGCTTTCGGCGAGCAGCACAAGTTAATATCGCCGCGTTGGCGCAGAATCGTCGCCGGCAACCCATCCGGTGTTGCCGGGGGGCCTGGCACCCCCCGCAACTCTGACTTTCATGCCTCCTCCTCCTCTTGCTCCACGTCCTCCTCCTCCTCCTCCTCCTCCTCCTCCTCCTCCTCCTCCTGCTCCACCTCCTCCTCCTCCTCCTCCTCCTCCTCCTCCTCCTCCTCCTCCCTCCTCCTCCTCCTCCTCATGCTCCTCCTCCTCCCCCTTCTCCTCCTCCTCCTCGTCCTCCTCCTCCTCCTCCTCCTCCTCCTCCTCCTCCTCCTCCTCATCCTCCTCCTCCTCCCTCCTCCCGATCTGCAGACCTGCGCACTTGCAAATGCTATCGCGGACGTGCTTGCGCATCCGCGTTGTGGAGCGCCACATTCGTGAGCATGCTCGTGGGAGGGTTCGGGCCCTGGTGGCGAAGGCCGAGTCGGTCTTCCTTCGTCAAGCCGCCTTCTCCTTAGCATCATCCGTTGTCCTTCGCGACTTTTGTTCGGGAAATCGAAGATGTCCACGTGCCCCCGTCGGCAAGGAGAGCAACAGGGCACAGGCCATCTCTCAGTCTCAGCACTCGTTCCTACGCTTCCCCGGGGGGGGAGATGTCCCAGGTGCCGCCTTTGCGTCCGCGAGGCTGTCGCGCCAGTCCTGAGAGGCCTCAGGGCAACGTGCCCGTCCCCCCCCCCTCCCCGGACCTCTAGCAGGACCTGCTGCGGGGGAGGAGGGAGGAGCGACAGAGGGTGGTGGTGGCCTTGTCGGACGCCTATCGGCCCCTCCTGCCCCTCGACGAGTTCGTTTTTGTAAGAATCGTGATGGCTGCTCCTGGACTCCTGTCAGGATCCCTCCTGGGCTTACGCTGCTGGGGGCGGTCCCGCACGTGTCCCACTATTTGGTCCAAGGGGGCCTGCTGCTTTTGCTCGCCGTGTTGCCGATATGCCTCGACGCCCAAGCTGCAGCTGGGCAACCTTTCCTCTGAATGCGAGGCTGCGCATTTGGAGACCAGTCTTTGGTCAAAGCACAGCACACGTCTCTAATGAGATTCAGGAAAGGTCTTACTCCCAGGTGTGGCGTCAGCTGTTGGGGCAGCGACCCTGTCGGTGAGGGATGCGGCGCGATTTTCCGACCACATCTACTCGAACCTTGTTTGAGCGACGCAGAAGAACGGGTTCGATTGTGCCGACGTTCGCGCGTAAGCTGCCCGCGACAGGCCGCGCGTAAGCGCCCTCGCTTCCCGCGCTGACGGCCCGCGCAATCTACTGCGTAAGGTCGCATGTCATCTCGCGTGAGACCCCTTTCTCGGGCGGGGCCAGGACGAGGATAGATCCGTTCCAGAACGTTCCAGAACGCTTTCAGATCGTTCCAGAACGCTTTCAGAGCGTACCAGAACGCTCTCAGAGCGTACCAGAACGCTCTCAGAGCGTACCAGAACCGCTCTCAGAGAAGGCCGCGGCGCCCGAGATATCCTCCAGAGCCCCCAGGTCTCTGAGTTTCTCGTCGACTTATCCTCACCCGAATTTATCCTCGCCCTGGCTTCGTGTCAAGGCAGGCCCCAGCGTCCTTCGATGCGGACGTGCCACTCCGCCGCGCCGGAGGCCCCGACGCCCTGGCTCCGCCCTTGCCCTGGCTTCGTCGTGCCCTCGTCCTGGCCCGTGCCCCCGTTCCCCGCGCCCCCCTCCCCTGGTGCCCTCCTGGCCCGTGCCCCCCTCCCCCGTGCCCACGCCATGCCATGCCATGCCGTGCTCTACAATGCATCGCGTACCCTTTCGGGATCATTGCCCTGCTCGACATCCGACTGTGCGAGTAGAGAGGGGATCTACGCCATGGTAAGGGATGGAAGGGAGGGGTAGGATGTCAGATATGACGCGAGCGCACCTAGCTTGCCCGTGCCCCCCCCCCCCCCCCCCTCCCCGATCCTTGGAGGCCCTCTCCTCCTCCCCCTCCTCCTCCTCCTCCTCCTCCTCCTCCTCCTCCTGCTCCTCCTCCTCCTCGACCTCTCCTCCTCCCCCCCTCCTCCTCCTCCCCCCTCCTCCCCCCTCCTCCTCCTCCTCCTCCTCCTCCTCCTCCTCCTCCTCCTCCTCCTCCTCCTCCAATTTGTCCCCCCCCGCCAGGAGGTCGCGCCTCGCCGGCCGCCTCCGCCTGGCCCTGCTGCCCCTGCTGCGGCGGCTGCCGCCCTGCCGCCGCCGGCGCGCGGAGCGCGCCGCCGCGGCCCGCCGGCGGGTGGAGTTCGCCGCCACGGTGCGGCGGATCGGGCGGGCCCAGATCGTCGGCGCGAGCGAAGTCGAAGCGAAACTGGGACACACAAGTAAATAGACACAAATGGCCAGATTTCCCATATGTTTCCATATGTTCTGGGCTTCTGCCTTCCCCCCACTTCCCATATTTTCCCGACGAGGGAATCGAGGGAATCGACGATTAATTGTGTCCGTGTGTTTTGTCCCCTCTTGAGACATGGGTACGGAAAGATTGGGTGCGATGCCCAGCAGCGGTTCCTGTCCATTCTGAACCGGACTCGCTGTCGGTGTCGCCGCGGCCTGGGTACATTCGAGGCAGGAGGCCGCCTGTCCAGCAGCGGGCGCTGCCGGTTCGGGGCAGCATCTGTTGTGGGGCACTGTGCCCATGTTTTTCCGTGCCCATGCCGGGCGTCCGAAGAGAGGCAGGTTCACGCGGAGCTGGCTCGCCTCTATCGAGCTGTGGCGAGGCGTTCTGCCTCGCCTGTAGGTCCACCTGAGATGGTCGAAGAGCCTCGTGTGGCCTGCACGAAGTGTTGTTCTCAGAACATTTCTGGCCGAGGCCGTCCTGGTTGAACACATCGGGCTTTTTGCTATAAGAACATCGCTCTTGGTCTTAGAACACTTTTGGGTTCTAGGAATTTGTCGTGGTGGGCCTAGAGGAATGCCAGGACGGTCGGTCCCTGCTCAACACCGCCGACGTCGCCGATGCATCGGCGATGCGGCGCGATCCTCCGACCCCATGTGCTCCGAACCCATTTAGGAGGTCTCTAGCGCCAGCGACGCCGGTGAAGGCATTCAAGGTTGAGTTCCACGTGATGGATCAACGCAGAAGCACCGATCGACACGGTATAACGCCACAAGGCCCGACGGAGTTCAGCCTTGAACGCTCGGGGCCGCGATCGGCTTAAGATTGAACGATCGACGCGGTGTCAAAGACTTGTGCGCGCCGACGCCACACGAATTCACTGTAAATCGTTAAGGGCTCGAGCAAGAAATGATTCCATAAACATAAGTAAGTTTTCGGAGCCACGCGCGGATTTCTTGGATCGGGGAGGAGGGTCAGCGCAGATGCAAGAAATCCGCGCGGAGCTCACCATGGGTTGGCGCCCGATGGTCGGCGACCTGTGGCGCCGGGCAGGCACACTCGGTCGTTCTCACGCTGGTCTCACACTGGTGTCGCATGGGCGACGGCGCCCTGTGGCAGGGGTAGCGATGGGGGGGATAGGCGCAGGGGGGAGTGCCTCGATCCCAAATCGCCCATTGATCGCCAGTCGCGCTCTGATAGCCCCGCTCCCCCCCAGGAGGTGCGGATCCGCTGGGCCTCTCGGCGACCTCTCAGCGATGTACCGCCGACTTCGGGTCGATGCTTGCCCCTGTGAGCAGGTCCGCCCGACCGTTCTCCCTCGCAGGAGCGCTCAGAGGCCTCGGTCCTGGGGCCCCGGGCCAGGACGCGCTGGGCCCTCCCTGGCGGCGCGCGCTCCACGCGCGGGGGAGGGGGGGAGTCTCGGTATGTGTGGCTTCTTGTTCCTCCTGAGGGTCGGGAGGGGAGTCTGAGCGAGTTGCCGCCGCCCTGGCCCTGCGACCTCCCGAGCGCCCAGGGCGGTGCATCCCCGCTCCTCCCTGGATCATTCGGGCCCTCGGTGCCTGCTCTCGGACCCCGCGGCCGCCGCTGCGGCCACCTCTCCCTCTTTGGGGCGCCGTCTGGAGGGCCCGCCTGGACGCTCGCTCGCTCGCTCGCTGCCCCTCCTCATGATGGGCCTGTCCTCCGCCACCACCGCCACAAGTTGGAGGGGGAGGGGGCCCTCCTCCTCCTCCTCCTCCTCCTCCTCCTCCTCCTCCTCCTGCTCCTCCTCCTCCTCCCCCTCCTCCTCCCCCTCCTCCCCCTCCTCCACCTCCTTCCCCCCTCCAACTTCTGGTGGCGGTGGTGGACACCAGGCCCACCACCCCAGGTGCGCGTGCGCGAGTACTCGCGCGAGCTCGACGGGCCCCGCGGCTGCGCCGTGCCCGCGGACGGCTCGCTGGTGAGCCTGCGCCTCGGGCGGCTCAAGGGCCGGCGGGAGGCGCCCCTCGCCGCCCCGCGGGGCGCGCTGCTGCCCATCGAGGACGTCGCCTACGTGCCGAGCCGGGATCGGGCCCGTCAGGATGCAACTCCTAAGGGCTTGGCATCGCTCGGACGTGTGCATTTTTTTCCTTCGGCGAGGACCATGTAGGAACATCCTTGATAATCTGGCGAGAAAAAACCACGCACGAAACCGAAAAAAAAACACGGGGAATGGACGTCCGAGCGATGGGCAGTGGGAGGTTGGATTCAGCGTCGGTGCTGGTAGGTCAGTGGACGGAGGCCAGCGCAATCTGGCATGTAGATCCGCTGGATCCGGCGTCGCCCTTCCGAATCCGGAACAGTGCAGCTGACATTGGTTGGGTAGTCCCTCAATCGGGTGTGTAGTAGCGCTTAATTTCAGGAGGGGGGGAACACACACACACACACAGACACAGTGAATCGTCGACCCTCAGGAAAATGTTGGAAATCATGGGAAGTGGGGGGGAAACGACAACCCAGAGCATGCGGGAAAAGATGGGGGCTCCTTGGATTAGTGTATGTTTATTTGTGTGTCCCGGGCCCTTTCGTATACCATCTTTCTGGCGAAGACTTCCCAGTAGCTCCTCCCCAAGGTCCGGCTGCTCCGCCGCTCCATGGGCGACCACCGTTTCCACGTCGCTTGGGCGAGGGGGCGCTGGGAGATGGTGCTCCGGAGAGGACAAGGGATCGATGCCGCTGCCCTTCTCTCCGTCCCAGAGATCCGACGTCCCCAAAAAGTTGGAGCGGCGGGGATGTGGCAGTTTTCAGCCTCTGGGGGCCCTCGCCATGCCTCGGGGGCATCCAACAACGTCTCAGGACGAGAAGCCAGTCCCGGGGAAATGGTCCGGACCTTTGCTCAAGCAGTGGCGAAGCGTCTGGGCGTACCTATTAGGTCCACCAGACAATCTTCTAAGAACTGTGTGTGGTTTCTACGAAAAATGTTCTCAGAGCACTTCTGGCTGGGACTGTCCTGTTTTAGTACATCGGGCTTTTGCTCTAAGAACATGGTTTTGCTTCTTAGAACATCTGTGGGTTCTAGGAGCATGTGGTGGTAGGCCTGTTAGGGATGCCGGGGCGGTCGGCCCCTGCTCCATGTGGGGCCCACGCGTCGAAGAGATCGGACCGGCCCGATGTCGGGGATTCCGCCTGCCAGGGGTCTCCCGGAGGGGTCCTCGTCGCCAGCGCCGGACGTGCCTCGAAGCCCTCGTCAGGGCGCGCCCCGAAAAGGGTCCAGGGAGTATATCAGAGCCCCGAATCATGAGGGGTAGCTCGGGTCAGGGATAACTCGGGGTCCTTTTTCGGGAATCCAAGCCCGAGTTACCCCGGACCCGAGTTACCCCCGGATAACTCGGGCGCCCAAGTATAGCGGCAGGGGTACCTGACCGGACCCAGACTTCAGACGATGTGGTTTGTTCAGTCCCGCCGCTTTTTGTCTCAAATTCGGCCCTCGGGGCCCAGCATTGGGCCGCGGGATATTCCCAAATGAATGCATGGACGAAAATGCACCCCCAGGGAAGGGGTCAGAATTTCTGCTGCCGCGGCGAGGGGAAAAACAAGCGGTCTCGGTAATTTGACGTCTCTGGACAGCTCCAGTATACTTTAGAGAGGCCCTCCTACCTCAAGGATCGAGGGGGTTCCAGGATACTTCCAACACCTTACTACAGAGGAGGAGGAGGAGGAGGAGGAGGAGGAGGAGGAGGAGGAGGCAGTCAAAATGCTGAAATGTGGATTGCTTTGGGCTCGTGAGGGGCTGGGGGGATTGTTCGGGCCGACGTCTGCCGTGGAGCCCGCCGTGGCCAGAAAAGCCCCTCCGCTCGAGCGCGGGCGCAGCTCACCGTACCTCAAAAAATGAAGCACAGCCGCCGCGCTACAGGATAGGGCTGACTGTGCTTCATGCCTCTACAGTAGGGGCCCTGAAGAAGGAACCTTTTTCGTTGGGGAGGGGCTCCGCGTTCCTTAAGTGTTTCACAGCTTGCCTCAGGCTTTCCTTACGTTTTCGTTACGAAATCGAAGTTCAACTAATGGAAAACAGGGGCCTCGTTCCTGATTTAGGGTTCCTTAGGTCAACGCCTCGACTGTACATCAAAAAATGAAGTACAGCCACCGCGCTACAGGATAGGGCTGACTGTGCTCCATGCCTCCACCGTGGAGGCCCATGCCAAGAAACACCCTGCTTGCCTCCAGGGTGCCTTGGGTTTCTTGGGTTTCGATGGTTTTGCTACGGAAAGCGTGACGTCCCGCACCAAAAATCGATGGACATCCTGGGGTCTCAGGGTTGGGTTTCTTGTGGTCGGGCCCCCATTGTACCCACCTCTTTCGACCGACGGGTGCCTCCTTGGCTCCCCGAGGCACGCGACCGGCGCCTGCGGGACGAGCGCCGGGCGGACGCGGGGGAGCGCACGCTGATGCCGAGGCCCGAGGACGCGCACGAGCGGGCGGTGCGGCTCGCCGAGGAGGTCGGCGCGCGCCGGGGCTGGAGGCCCAGGGAGGAGGAGAGTCGAAAGGGCGCGTTCTGTGGCCGCTTGCAGGGAGGGGGGGGGAGGAGGAGGAGGAGGAGGAGGAGGAGGAGGAGGAGGAGGAGGAGGAGGAGGAGGAGGCCGAGGAGAGGAGGAGGAGGAGGAGGAGGAGGAGGAGGCGGAGGAGGAGGCCCGAGGAGGAGAGATTAGAAAGAGCGCGTTCTGTGGGCCGCTTGGGGGGGGGAGCCTAAAACAGGGCTAGGATCGGGATGAATCGCTCCAGAGCGTTCCGGAGCGCTCTCAGAGCGTTCCGGAACGCTCTGGAGCGGCCGCGGCGCCCAGTAGATCCTCCAAACCCGCCGATTCTCAGAGATTTCGAGTTATCCCGATCCGATTTTGTCCCGATCCTCGCGTCGTTTTGGCCCCTCCTTCCAGGGAGGGGGGGGAGGTCCGGTTCCAACCGCCCCCCCCTCCCTCCAAGCGGCCACAGAACGCGCTCTTTTAGGGGGCAAACAAACCTACCTCGCTTTTGACCACCCTCGCTTCCAAGAGATACCCAGCGATGCCAAACTACGGCCTGTACTGGTCAGGCCGCCTGACGAGGAGGCGCGTGGTATGACTTGGTTTTGCCTGGAAGCGAAAGCAGATGGGTAATTCACGCTCTGATTCTCAGAGATTTCGAGTTATCCCGATCCGATTTTGTCCCGAGGAGTAGAAGAGTCGAAAGATCAGAGCGTGAATTACCCATCTGCTTTCGCTTCCAGGCAAAACCAAGTCATACCACGCGCCTCCTCGTCAGGCGGCCTGACCAGTACAGGCCGTAGTTTGGCATCGCTGGGTATCTCTTGGAAGCGAGGGTGGTCAAAAGCGAGGTAGGTTTGTTTGCCCCCTAAAAGAGCGCGTTCTGTGGCCGCTTGGAGGGAGGGGGGGGCGGTTGGAACCGGACCTCCCCCCCCTCCCTGGAAGGAGGGGCCAAAACGACGCGAGGATCGGGACAAAATCGGATCGGGATAACTCGAAATCTCTGAGGATCGGCGGGTTTGGAGGATCTACTGGGCGCCGCGGCCGCTCCAGAGCGTTCCGGAACGCTCTGAGAGCGCTCCGGAACGCTCTGGAGCGATTCATCCCGATCCTAGCCCTGTTTTAGGGGTGGATCCGGACCTCCCCCCCCTCCCTGGAAGGAGGGGGGGGGGCTCGAGCCCGTGACACGCGCTCTCTCGAAGATGCCGGTGCCCGATGCCGCTGCTCGGCCCGGGGGCCATCGCGAGCGGCGAGCATGTCCATATCCGCGGCCTCGCGGCTCGGATTCCGGGGCGCGGTGCCGCGGAGACGCGGTCGCGCGGATGCGTTCCGCGCGGCGGGCATCCGCGATCAGAAGCGCCCCGCCGCCGCGGGGTCGGGGCCCAGGCCAGGCCCGCGAGGCCGCGGATACGGACGCGCTCGTCGGCCACGAGCGGCCTGAAGTTTCCAATTCTGGGCGCGTGTCTTCGAGAGTTCGGCCCGCGAGGCCGCGGACCCAGACCCCCGACGTCATGATTTTTTCATGACGCGACCCCCAGAGGTCTGGACCCATTCCACGGGACCGGTTTTTCATCCTGACCCTGAGGGTCTCGCGTGCCGGATCTCAGCCCGGCAGAAAATGGGGGAGGTTTGAGGAAGCGGTCGTAATCCGACATTACATATTCATTTCATGTTCAGAACATGTATTATATAAACGTACATAATTAGCACGCAAGTAATATTTAAGTACAGATCAGCACGTTGAGATGTAAATCGCAACATATGCATAAAAATCAACACGCGCCAAACGATGATTCGACACGTCTGAAGGACAGGTTTGGGAGGGAAATAACATCATAACGTTTTTTCGAATAAAGCACACGTTGCACGGGAATGTGACACCAGCTGCCGAGGCAGCCAACGGCATATAGCTGTGGATGTAAGTTAGATGGCGCAATGATGTACGAAGCATGTGCAGCATTAGTCGTGACATCATATTGCCGTAATAACTCTACGATTAAGTTAATGAGTGCATTAGTTACTTCCTTTTTATGATTTATTGCGAGATATGAAGACATCTTCGCAATTTTAAACACACGGGGATATTTCCTAGAATGCAGTTTCCGCTTGAGAACTTCGGTTATTACCCAAGATATCCTTATGAATCTGAGCATGCGGGAATAATTGTAGTCGACGTCGTCGTCGAACACGTTTTTATAGTTAGGTGTTGTGTTTGTTATAGTTGTGTTTGTCTTGTGCTTTTGAACTGCAGGAGGTTGGTCCCTCCAAGGGGAAAGTAGTGTCGTGGCTCCTGGCGGCAGGCACGGGGCGCCCGCAAAGCTTGCACTGTCGCGCAAGCGGTGACGCATGCTTACTGTACACGCAAGCGTCGGTGTTGCCAGTTGCCAGATCATAAATGCTCTAGATTCTAGATCGTGCTGTTCGGCGTGCGCGCGGTGCTGCGCGGAGTCCTGTCCGATGGCGAGGCTGGCGACTCCACGAGAAAAAAACTCATCTGCTGATGCTGTCGACCGCTGGGCTGAGAAGTCCTTCCACTTTGACGGGTCCTTCACTTTCCAACCGTACGGTACCCAGCTCTCTGGGTTGTTTGGGTCCCACGGGATAGATGGTTCCAGCCCGTTCTCTGTCTTGGTAGCTTCAGTCGTGTAGTCGATCCACCCTTGCGGGTTCTTGACCTGCCAGCCGTATGGGACCCACGTTCTCTCGTCATCTGGGTCCCACCAGTGAAGGGAGCAAGGGTTCATCGCACGCTTGTTGTAGTCCAAGTTCTCGTCCTCCTGCGACTTCGTGAAGTCGCGCTCCATGCCGAAGGGCCCCGTCATCGATATGTCATCTTGCAGCACCGCCTTGGCACAGCTGATGTGGTCGATGGCCTTGTTGATGGTCTCGAGCTGCATCGTCATCATCGTGGTGTTGGTGTTCAGCGACATGCACTTCGCTGGGGTGCCGCACCGTTCCGCCTCGCCGCGGGCAATGCTCATGCTGAGTGACCGTTGGTGCTCCTTCAGCAACTCGTGGCCTGCCTGGAATGATCCCACTGCAGCGTTCACCACGCTCTTGCTGCTCTTCAAGATCTGCTGCGACTGATGGATGCGGTAGTCGTCTGAACCGATCTCCTGCGCCCACGGCCGACCTCCGCGCCCCATGGCCGAACGATCCATGGATGTCGGCCTGCGGCGCTGCGCCTGGGACGTGGCGCCCTAGGCTGCACTCGAAAGTTCGAGCCAAGACTGGCAACGGAGTGAAGGGCAGACTGAAGCCCTGACGCTTCTTAAGTCCGAAGACATTCAACCACCACCACCAACCCCCTGGGCGTAGGTGGTTTAGGGAGCTTCCTCTTCCAACCACAGTCTTCCGCGGGGAGGGGTTTGTCCCGCTGTCCCACTCCCTCTCCTGGACATGGACGGGTGAAAGGGGGGGGGTGCCAGGGCGCCCAACAATGCATCAGTTTTTTTAATGTGGTGGCCACGTGTTTGCATATTTGGGGGGAGGCAATGCGAATTGCAACCGCCACCGCATTTGACAGTTGTCCTCCAACATGGCCCCAAGAAACGCACATGAGGCTCAAAGAGGCCCAGCCATTGCCCCACGATGGCCCGAAGAGGCCACCATCACCAAGATGGCCCCACGCTGCCCAACCAGTCCCATCCTCGTTCCCCACGGCACCCAAGCCGCCCACGCGCACCCCAGGACCGCCAAGAGACACCCACTAAGGCGCACCAAGAGGCCACCACGAAGCGCGGTATCACAAGAGGCTCCGATGGGCATCCACGAGACTTCGGGCCCTGTTGAGTACCAGTCTCCTCCTGCACCTCATTAATCCTCATACTCATGCTCTCCCCCCTCCTCCGCATCCTCATCCTCATCATCCTCATCTTTCTCCTCGCCCCCATCATCATCATCATCATCATCATATTCATCATCCGTGTCCCCACCCATCCGTCCATGCATCTAAGCTCAGCCTTGCTCCTCTTCATCCTACCTCCTTCGCGCGGCTCGGTCGGTCCATGCGTGCCCCCGCGCGTCGTTGATCACCTCAACTTGCCTGGGCGTCGTTTCTGGATGAGTTGGCGGGGATGCGCGGAGCGTCCACACTTTCAACAGGCTTCATTGGTTTTGCATGAGTTGTGCAACCGACGTGTTGGTTATATATGTGCAGTTGCTAACTCAGAGACTACGTAAATGCACGCATGCGAGTGCCCATAGCGTTTACAATGCACGCCATCCACATGTTGTGTTGTTACATTTACCCCAGCTCATCGCATCATCAATCCTGATTCCGTTTCAGAACGGACGCGTTACAGCATATTTGTGTCGTTGTTTCGGTTCGGGGCGATGTATGTTTGGAGGGTGGCCCGAGGATAATGACGGTGTCTTGCGATGGGCAGGCGCAGTACACCGCTTGATGATGATGGTGGTGATGCGGAGGGGGTGGACGGATGCATCGCCGATTGGCCCATTGGATGTTGTTGGTTTTTTGTAAGGAGGATGGAGCGAGGATGCGGATGAGGTGTTATATTACTAGAACTAAGATAGCATTCGGAGGTGAGGGCGACGATGAGGAGGTGGGGGATTGATGCACCATGCTGCAACCCTTGAGCTCAAATAGCTCGAGCGCAACACCATCTTCAGCATGTCAATCAGATGCTGAACCGTCTATCTCGACAGGGCCGTCTGACGGCCACGTCGGCACAGCGCTGCCAACAGCTCTCAGTGTTAGCTCAGCTAGTCCTTGAGCGAATGCAGTCGGACTGGGCATAGGGTCCTGCGGGTGTGCACTGATCTCGCCGCTCGCCGACTCTGTGGCCAACCGTCGCCACCCCCGTGCCTAGCGTTTATACCAAACAATTAAACAGGAGGCCCCAACAGGCCCCACGAGCTGCACCCACTCCTTGATTTTAACACGCTGGAAATCATGAGCCCACCAGGTTTCCACACCCGAAAGCCCGATGAACCAGGAG